GAGAAAAAATGGCCAGTTGAGGAATGGTACAACGGGCGCTAGGCTGATAGTGCTGTCTCTTTTCTCTAAACTAAAACCAACCCACCCCACCCCACACACCCAGCCCCACCCCACCCCCCACACACCACCCCCCACCCCCACCCCCACCACACACCACCCCCACCCCTCACCCCCACACACCACCCCTCCACACACCGCCCCCCCACCCCCCCACCCCCCCAAAAAAAAACATGTCTACCGTCCCATTCAACGAAATATAATTATATACTTTTTTCAGTGTCCGCCCCCTCCCAGAAAATTCTACCCCCCGCCCCCGAAAATTTCAAGTACCCCCACCCCTCTCCGGGAGGAAAAAGTCTGAAAGAAACACTGAAACCAACCCACCCCCCCACCACACCACCCCCCCACCCCCCCACACACCACCCCCCATCTCCCCCCCACCCCCCACCCCACAACACCCCCCCCCCCACCCCTCCACCACCCCCCCACCCCCAAAAAAAAAACATGTCTACCGTCCCATTCAACGAAATATAATTATATACTTTTTCCAGTGTCCGCCCCCTCCCAGAAAATTCTACCCCCGCCCCCGAAAATTTCAAGTACCCCCACCCCTCTCCGGGAGGAAAAAGTCTGAAAGAAACACTGAAACCAACCCACCCCCCCCACACACCACCCCCCACCCCCCCTCCCCACCCCCTACACACCACCCCCCCCCTCCCCCCCCACCCCCTCCCACCCCCCCCCCCCCCGCCCAACCCCCCCCCCCCCCCCCCCCCCCCCCCCCCAAAAAAAACATGTCTACCTTCCCATTGCAAGAAAACCACTTTTTAGATTAGACACATTAATTAGGCTGTAATTTTATTATAGAGTATCGATGAGGAAATTTCTTTTGAGTTGGGGAGGGGGGGGCTCAGACGTTCTTACGCGGGGGGTGGGGCTTCGCCCCTACCCGAAGAATTGTATGCAAGAAACTCTTCACGCAAACCATTTAGATTAGACAACATTTCCTTTTTTTCAATGTTTACGCGATAATCAATGACGTCATATTACTGTGTGCACTCTCTGGTTTGAGATTATGTTCTACTCTACGCTAAATGTGTCGACGTCATATTTCGTTTTTCGAATTACTGTGCATGTTTTTAAATTGCTTGTGTTTTCTCTAGAGCGTTCTTGTCAGACAAAGCGTTCTTGTCAGACAGAGCGTTCTTGTCAGATAGACAGACAGCGAAACTATTAGTATTAATATATATATATATATATATATATATATATATATATATATATATATATATATTTGACTATATATATATGACTATATATATATATGAATATATATATATGAATATATATATATGACTATATATATATATGAATATATATATATGACTATATATATATATGAATATATATATATGACTATATATATATATGAATATATATATATATATATATATATATGACTATATATATATATGACTATATATGTATATATATGACTATATATATATAAGGGGCGGGTCCATGGGCGGGGTTATAACTCCCCCTTGCCTATGCCACTGATATATATATATGTATATATATATATATATATATATATAAATATATATGTATAGGCATATATATATATATATATATATGCAGAACAAATTGTTATATATATATATATATATATATATATATATATATATATATATATATATATTTATATATATATATATATATATATAACAATAAATATATATATTTACATTTGTATATATAGACATACACACACACACATATATATATGGGGTGGGTGGACACCAAAGTAAAAGTTCGCCCTGGGCGCCGGGAGGGGTCACTACGCTGCTGGATAGAGTTGTGTTCAAATACATTTAATTAGTTTAGTTATATTATTCATTAAATATTATTTTGCTTATAATGCCAGTTAAAAAATCTTGACCCTGTTGTATTTTTTTATTTCCAGGCACTATGCATTTTTTGATAACTATGTAACCTGCATAAATTGGTAGGTATCATGTTTGATTGCTTCTGATGTTTTACCTTATTCACTAAGTTCCTCATTCTGACCCTTACTAAAGCATACTTTGTGGATATCATTACTTAAAATGACAGTTTAAATTTTAAGTGCAATTGAAAAATAAAGCACCTAAGTTAATTTTAAATAGTGCAATAGACTATAGTTAAGAGGGGTATTATTGTCGTTCACTAAATAAAATCAGACACATGGCCTCAGGTTATCCTGTGAGCACTGTGGCACCTGGCTATCATGTGAGCACTGTGGCACCTGGCTATCATGTGAGCACTTTGGCACCTGGCTATCATGTGAGCACTGTGGCACCTGGCTATCATGTGAGCACTGTGGCACCTGGCTATCATGTGAGCACTGTGGCACCTGGCTATCATGTGAGCACTGTGGCACCTGGCTATCATGTGAGCACTGTGGCACCTGGCTATCATGTGAGCACTGTGGCACCTGGGAGCACTGTGGCACCTGGCTATCATGTGAGCACTATGGCACCTGGGAGCACTGTGGCACCTGGCTATCATGTGAGCACTGTGGCACCTGGCTATCATGTGAGCACTGTGGCACCTGGCTATCATGTGAGCACTGTGGCACCTGGCTATCATGTGAGCACTGTGGCACCTGGCTATCATGTGAGCACTATGGCACCTGGGAGCACTGTGGCACCTGGCTATCATGTGAGCACTATGGCACCTGGGAGCACTGTGGCACCTGGCTATCATGTGAGCACTGTGGCACCTGGCTATCATGTGAGCACTGTGGCACCTGGCTATCATGTGAGCACTATGGCACCTGGGAGCACTGTGGCACCTGGCTATCATGTGAGCACTGTGGCACCTGGCTATCATGTGAGCACTGTGGCACCTGGCTATCATGTGAGCACTATGGCACCTGGGAGCACTGTGGCACCTGGCTATCATGTGAGCACTATGGCACCTGGCTATCATGTGAGCACTGTGGCACCTGGCTATCATGTGAGCACTGTGGCACCTGGCTATCATGTGAGCACTGTGGCACCTGGCTATCATGTGAGCACTGTGGCACCTGGCTATCATGTGAGCACTGTGGCACCTGGCTATCATGTGAGCACTATGGCACCTGGCTATCATGTGAGCACTGTGGCACCTGGCTATCATGTGAGCACTATGGCACCTGGGAGCACTGTGGCACCTGGCTATCATGTGAGCACTATGGCACCTGGCTATCATGTGAGCACTGTGGCACCTGGCTATCATGTGAGCACTGTGGCACCTGGCTATCATGTGAGCACTGTGGCACCTGGCTATCATGTGAGCACTGTGGCACCTGGCTATCATGTGAGCACGGTGGCACCTGGCTATCATGTGAGCACTATGGCACCTGGCTATCATGTGAGCACTGTGGCACCTGGCTATCATGTGAGCACTGTGGCACCTGGCTATCATGTGAGCACTGTGGCACCTGGCTATCATGTGAGCACTGTGGCACCTGGCTATCATGTGAGCACTGTGGCACCTGGCTATCATGTGAGCACTGTGGCACCTGGCTATCATGTGAGCACTGTGGCACCTGGGAGCACTGTGGCACCTGGCTATCATGTGAGCACTGTGGCACCTGGCTATCATGTGAGCACTGTGGCACCTGGCTATCATGTGAGCACTGTGGCACCTGGCTATCATGTGAGCACAGTGGCACCTGGCTATCATGTGAGCACTGTGGCACCTGGGAGCACTGTGGCACCTGGCTATCATGTGAGCACTGTGGCACCTGGCTATCATGTGAGCACTATGGCACCTGGCTATCATGTGAGCACTGTGGCACCTGGCTATCATGTGAGCACTGTGGCACCTGGCTATCATGTGAGCACTGTGGCACCTGGCTATCATGTGAGCACTGTGGCACCTGGCTATCATGTGAGCACTGTGGCACCTGGCTATCATGTGAGCACTGTGGCACCTGGCTATCATGTGAGCACTGTGGCACCTGGGAACACTGTGGCACCTGGCTATCATGTGAGCACTGTGGCACCTGGCTATCATGTGAGCACTATGGCACCTGGCTATCATGTGAGCACTATGGCACCTGGCTATCATGTGAGCACTATGGCACCTGGCTATCATGTGAGCACTGTGGCACCTGGCTATCATGTGAGCACTGTGGCACCTGGGAGCACTGTGGCACCTGGCTATCATGTGAGCACTGTGGCACCTGGCTATCATGTGAGCACTATGGCACCTGGCTATCATGTGAGCACTATGGCACCTGGCTATCATGTGAGCACTGTGGCACCTGGCTATCATGTGAGCACTGTGGCACCTGGGAGCACTGTGGCACCTGGCTATCATGTGAGCACTGTGGCACCTGGCTATCATGTGAGCACTGTGGCACCTGGCTATCATGTCAGCACTGTGGCACCTGGCTATCATGTGAGCACTATGGCACCTGGCTATCATGTGAGCACTGTGGCCCCTTCATTTCTTTAAAAGAGCACCCTACAATATTGACACTGATATTTGAAGATTAAGCTGAGCCAGGGGCTGTACGCAGCGTCCCTATAGTAGTAAAACCAGAGCTACTGAGAGTGCCTAGCCCCTGACACCTGGGTGCTCACTGAAGTGTATTCAACCTTACTATTATGGGGAGTGATTAATGATTGGCGTACATTTGCTCAGCATTTGTTCAGTTGCAGAGGTGTGTGTTGGGGGGGAGGGGGGGAAGCTGGATTCGATAGATCTATCTTGATCTTTGTATCATGTTATTGTAATGTGTGTTGGGGGGGGGGGGGGGGAAGCTAGATTAGATAGATCTATCTTGATCTTTGTATCATGTTATTGTAATGTGTGTTGGGGGGGGGAAGCTGGATTCGATAGATCTATCTTGATCTTTGTATCATGTTATTGTGGTGTGTGTTGGGGGGGGGGGGGGGGAAGCTAGATTAGATAGATCTATCTTGATCTTTGTATCATGTTATTGTGGTGTGGCATTCTGTTTTTCAGTGCTAGTCCACATGGTTCTCCATCCAAAAAGTTTGTTGTTAACAAGAGCAGACCTGCTAAGTTTGAAGATGCTCTGTTGATGGAAGGGAATCCTGTATGTGTCTCTTTTTCTCAATTCATACAAATTTACACCCTCTCCTATGTCACCTTCCCCAGTCCTATGTCACCCTCCCCTGTCCTATGTCACCCTCCCCTATGTCACCCTCCTCTGTCACAGTCCCCTCCCCTATGTCACCCTCCCCTATGTCACCATTCCAAGTCCTAAGTCACCCTTCCCAGTCCTATATCACCCTCTCCTGTCCTATGTCACCCTCCCCTATGTCACCCTCCTCTGTCACAGTCCCCTCCCCTATGTCACCCTTCCCAGTCCTATGTCACCCTTCCCAGTCCTATGTCACCCTTCCCTATGTCACCCTACCCTATGTCACCCTTCCCAGTCCTATGTCACCCTTCCCAGTCCTATGTCACCCTTCCCAGTCCTATGTCACCCTTCCCTATGTCACCCTTCCCAGTCCTATGTCACCCTTCCCTATGTCACCCTACCCTATGTCACCCTTCCCAGTCCTATGTCACCCTTCCCAGTCCTATGTCACCCTCCCCTATGTCACCCTTCCCAGTCCTATGTCACCCTTCCCAGTCCTATGTCACCCTCCCCTATGTCACCCTTCCCAGTCCTATGTCACCCTTCCCTATGTCACCCTTCCCAGTCCTATGTCACCCTTCCCTATGTCACCCTTCCCAGTCCTATGTCACCCTTCCCTATGTCACCCTCCCCTATGTCACCCTTCCCTATGTCACCCTTCCCAGTCCTATGTCACCCTCCCCTGTCCTATGTCACCCTCCCCTGTCCTATGTCACCCTTCCCTGTCCTATGTCACCCTCCCCAGTCCTATGTCACCCTCTCCTATGTCACAGTCCCCTCCCCTATGTCACCCTCTCCTATGTCACCCTTCCCTATGTCACCCTTCCCAGTCCTATGTCACCCTCCCCTATGTCACCCTTCCCAGTCCTATGTCACCCTCCCCTATGTCACCCTTCCCAGTCCTATGTCACCCTCCCCTATGTCACCCTTCCCAGTCCTATGTCACCCTTCCCAGTCCTATGTCACCCTTCCCTATGTCACCCTTCCCAGTCCTATGTCACCCTTCCCTATGTCACCCTTCCCAGTCCTATGTCACCCTTCCCTATGTCACCCTTCCCAGTCCTATGTCACCCTTCCCTATGTCACCCTTCCCTATGTCACCCTTCCCTATGTCACCCTTCCCTATGTCACCCTCCCCTATGTCACCCTTCCCTATGTCACCCTTCCCAGTCCTATGTCACCCTCCCCTATGTCACCCTTCCCTATGTCACCCTTCCCTATGTCACCCTTCCCTATGTCACCCTTCCCTATGTCACCCTTCCCAGTCCTATGTCACCCTCCCCTATGTCACCCTTCCCTATGTCACCCTTCCCAGTCCTATGTCACCCTCCCCTATGTCACCCTCCCCTATGTCACCCTTCCCTATGTCACCCTTCCCTATGTCACCCTCCCCTATGTCACCCTTCCCTATGTCACCCTCCCCTATGTCACCCTTCCCTATGTCACCCTTCCCTATGTCACCCTCCCCTATGTCACCCTCCCCTATGTCACCCTTCCCAGTCCTATGTCACCCTCCCCTATGTCACCCTTCCCTATGTCACCCTTCCCAGTCCTATGTCACCCTCCCCTATGTCACCCTCCCCTATGTCACCCTTCCCTATGTCACCCTTCCCAGTCCTATGTCACCCTCCCCTATGTCACCCTTCCCAGTCCTATGTCACCCTCCCCTATGTCACCCTTCCCAGTCCTATGTCACCCTCCCCTATGTCACCATTCCCAGTCCTATGTCACCCTCCCCTGTACAATAAAAGTCTTGCCTAACTATGGTAGTGAAACATTTTCTTTTATTCTTGTAATGAAATTAAAAATTTATCTTTTAGGAGTCGTATAGTCTACCTAACTATTTATCTTTTAGGAGTCGTATAGTCTACCAAACTATTTATGTTTTATGAGTTGTATAGTCTTCCTAACTATTTATCTTTTAGGAGTCATATAGTCTACCTAACTATTTATCTTTTAGGAGTCATATAGTCTACCTAACTATTTATCTTTTAGGAGTCATATAGTCTACCTAACTATTTATCTTTTAGGAGTCATATAGTCTACCTATTTATCTTTTAGGAGTCATATAGTCTACCTAACTATTTATCTTTTAGGAGTCAAATAGTCTACCTAACTATTTATCTTTTAGGAGTCATATAGTCTACCAAACTATTTATCTTTTAGGAGTCATATAGTCTACCAAACTCTGGTCATAAAAGCTGCTTGTTTGCACTAAGTTCAGAGAATTTCCTATTTTGTATTGACCTAGAAAATGGAAAGATTTTTGAGGAAGTATATATTGGATCAACCACTGTAAAATATAAGTAAGTTCTGGAAAATGTTCATACATTCTGAATTAATGGTTTTTAAAAATAAACAGAATATTTCCCAAAATTGTATAGGCTATATCCAAAGTTGGCCTCTTGCAGTTATCTAAAGATGGCCACTTGCAGTCATCTAAAGATGGCCACTTGCAGTTATCTAAAGATGGCCACTTGCACTCATCTAAAGATGGCCACTTGCACTCATCTAAAGATGGCCACTTGCACATTGTTACGTCCGGGTTAGATTCGAATTCAAGAACGACTCGGGTTAACGTTCGATACGTTTATTAGGTCTCACATATCACATTACAACATAGCCCTCGACCTAACCCTGCCAACTAACTAACCCCTGACAACCATTCACTCCAGCTTTTATACCGCATTCGACCTTGGGATAACAATACACAAACACACCGGGGTTAACAATATTCTAGGGTAAACTCAACTCACACACTCACTCTCCCCTAATTCTAGATCAATCTATCCTATTCTAGTCTAACCTACAACTGACCCGTAACACACATGTAATATTTTTGTTCTTCTTAATTGCCAGAAAAATCTTGTGGAATACTGTAGATGAAAGTTTTACTCTTTGCTCCCAGTTAAACCCTAAAGATGGAGTAAGTTTTAAACTGCTATCATATTTTCATTTAGACCACCTATCATATAGGCCTACCAATAATTCATGTATAGTTTACACCACCTATCATATACCAATGATTCATGTATAGTTAACACCACCTAACATATACCAATGTTTCATGTATAGTTTACACCACTTATCATACACCAATGATTCATATATAGTTTACACCACCTATCAAATACCAATGATTCAAATATAGTTTACACCACTTATCATACACCAATGATTCATGTATAATTTACACCACCTGTCATAAACCAATGATTCATATATAGTTTGCACTGTGTATTGTACACTAATGTTATTATTCTATCATCACATAAATAATAAAATATTGCATTACTAATGTTACTCAAGCAAAGAATTGATTGAACCTACATTGCCATAACAAAGAATTGATTGAACCTACATATTGCCATAACAAAGAATTGATTGAACCTACATATTGCCATAACAAAGAATTGATTGAACCTACATATTGCCATAACAAAGAATTGATTGAACCTACATATTGCCATAACAAAGAATTGATTGAACCTACATATTGCCATAACAAAGAATTGATTGAACCTACATTGCCATAACAAAGAATTGATTGAACCTACATATTGCCATAACAAAGAATTGATTGAACCTACATATTGCCATAACAAAGAATTGATTGAACCTACATATTGCCATAACAAAGAATTGATTGAACCTACATATTGCCATAACAAAGAATTGATTGAACCTACATATTGCCATAACAAAGAATTGATTGAACCTACATTGCCATAACAAAGAATTGATTGAACCTACATATTGCCATAACAAAGAATTGATTGAACCTACATATTGCCATAACAAAGAATTGATTGAACCTACATATTGCCATAACAAAGAATTGATTGAACCTACATATTGCCATAACAAAGAATTGATTGAACCTACATATTGCCATAACAAAGAATTGATTGAACCTACATTGCCATAACAAAGAATTGATTGAACCTACATATTGCCATAACAAAGAATGGATTGAACCTACATATTGCCATAACAAAGAATTGATTGAACCTACATTGCCATAACAAAGAATTGATTGAACCTACATATTGCCATAACAAAGAATTGATTGAACCTACATATTGCCATAATAAAGAATTGATTGAACCTACATTGCCATAACAAAGAATTGATTGAACCTACATATTGCCATAACAAAGAATTGATTGAACCTACATATTGCCATAACAAAGAATTGATTGAACCTACATATTGCCATAACAAAGAATTGATTGAACCTACATATTGCCATAACAAAGAATTGATTGAACCTACATATTGCCATAACAAAGAATTGATTGAACCTACATATTGCCATAACAAAGAATTGATTGAACCTACATATTGCCATAACAAAGAATTGATTGAACCTACATATTGCCATAACAAAGAATTGATTGAACCTACATTGCCATAACAAAGAATTGATTGAACCTACATATTGCCATAACAAAGAATTGATTGAACCTACATATTGCCATAACAAAGAATTGATTGAACCTACATATTGCCATAACAAAGAATTGATTGAACCTACATATTGCCATAACAAAGAATTGATTGAATCTACATATTGCCATAACAAAGAATTGATTGAACCTACATTGCCATAACAAAGAATTGATTGAACCTACATATTGCCATAACAAAGAATTGATTGAACCTACATTGCCATAACAAAGAATTGATTGAACCTACACATTGCCATAACAAAGAATTGATTGAACCTACATATTGCCATAACAAAGAATTGATTGAACCTACATATTGCCATAACAAAGAATTGATTGAACCTACATATTGCCATAACAAAGAATTGATTGAACCTACATTGCCATAACAAAGAATTGATTGAACCTACATATTGCCATAACAAAGAATTGATTGAACCTACATATTGCCATAACAAAGAATTGATTGAACCTACAAATTGCCATAACAAAGAATTGATTGAACCTACATATTGCCATAACAAAGAATTGATTGAACCTACATATTGCCATAACAAAGAATTGATTGAACCTACATTGCCATAACAAGGTTGATCTACTTTGGACAGGTTCTCCAGTCTCAGGAAGTTGTACAGTTAAAGGGGGCAGGTACACCCAGAATTATTGAAAAATCGTTTTTTTCGAATATTGTTGTATGGTGAATGTTATTTTATTCAGAATCCATTTCTCTATCCGTCTGTATGCATTAATTTGACCTGAGTGAAGTAGTTTTTTAGTTATTAGCTTCCAAAGTGGGTAGGGGTAGTCCGTCAGAATGTAAAAAAATGGGGAAAATGTCGGACGGCAAGCCTTTTACAACACTCGGAAACGAACGATATAATAATAAATATAAACAATAAACACTCCCTTACTATTAGAATAATTAGCTACTCCCTATTTCAAAATAGATCTACTTCCTATTTAATATTTTTATTATTTTATACTTGGAATAATGACACATTTCACGGTTGAGGTATTAAAATTTACTAAAACTAAACTAATATAGAAAGTGAGTTTTCTAAGTATAAAAGATTGTTATATGCAATCTACAGCTAGTGAAACTAGAAAAAGACATAATGTTTATTTAAAATAAAACAGACTACCTTGCTGAGTAATTAAAAATACATAAATAAAAATAAAAGTTTGTTTACATTTGGTAACCAGGTGGACACACCCACAAAGTCAAAACAAAAAATATAATATACATTGATGCAGACTCAAGATTCTACTAAATAGAATGATACATAGGAAAAGTACTTCTCAATGGTGATTCTGAATAAAACAAAACTAAATATTAAAGTCAACCATCTGGAAAATTATGTTGATAATGTGATAATAAATTAGTATAGACAGCAATTCTCTGAGAAACTATTTCATCACACTTGTGTGTCATTGATGTAACTGTTTCTTAGACATGAAAGAAAGGGGCTAGCCAGTTCATGCATATTTAATTGTAATAATACAAAATGAAACAGATAATCTGGTTGTTTCTAAGCTTATCCTCTCAGCTGTTGGTATTTTTTTTAAAATATTGTGAACAGATGAACTGCATTTGTGATGCAAAGCTGAGGCGCGGAAAGGTCAGATTAGTTTTTTGCCTTATAATGGACTTGCATAAAGTAAAAACACCAATGCCAATGGTCATACCATATAGAACACATTATTACCTCCTTACAGAAGTCATTGAAGCTATAAGACCAGTCTGCAGAAGTCCTTGCTAAGACATAGGAGGTAACAAAGTGACTCAATAGCTACACCCAAACCCAGAATGAGTCACTCAGCAACATGATAGGGAAGTAATTCCAAAAGAAAAGGAATCATTCTGTAATAATTGGAGACTTCTATAGCAATGGCAGAAGCTATATTTAGTTATGGAACACTATTCTGATGGTTTGCTGAGGGTGATAGACAAACATCCAGGATAACTCTGTTGGAATTCTGCAAAACCGCAGATGTGTCGTATGTTACAAAAAAACAAAAAAACAGACATTTTGGGCTTTCAAGACTCTTTGTCAGGTCAGAAAGCACTAGGAATTAGGTGCTGAGGAGAAAGAATCTGAAAAACAGTGCCATCCTTACTAAGCTGGAGTGTATTGGCTGTTTTCATGGAAGAAAATCAACTTTTTTTAGTATACGAAAAGTTTGCGAAAAACGACATGTTTGCAAATTGTCTTCCAGTTATTTTCCACAATTATTGTTCGATTGTGATAAAACTTTGCACACACATTCCCTGATGTAGTGGCTATGGTATGAACCAAAATCTTTTACCTAGGTGTTATACTTTTTTAGATATGTAGGGCTATGTTCTGCTGTTTTCTCAAAATTTTAGCACATTTTTCAAATTTGTGTCATGGACAAACCATAATGGTTAGTAACATGAGACTGGTTCATACCATAGCCATACATGTCTTTTAGATGCATTGAAAGTGTTACAGCTGTGTACTTGATACTTTGGTTTAAATTAGTTCTACAGTTGGGGTCATTTTTTTTATATCGCGGATGACTTACATTTTAAAATTATTTTTTAAAAAAATCTTTACTTCATACATAAACTTATTTCCTTACATTTGCCATATAATAGATTATGTAAGCTATACTGGTACCAAATTTGGCAACTGTAAGTCTAATAGTTTTTTTTTGGTAAATTTTTTAGTACGGTAACCATGTTCTGGGTGTATCTGCCCCCCTTAACTGTCATGTCATGTTTGCCACTGGAGATTTGCTGCAAATTTTCTGTCACAAAACAGGTGATCAATACAGTCATTATATTTCTAGAATATGTTACCATGTAGCGCACACCCTTCTCTCTCTCTCCCTCTCTCTCTCCCTCTCTCTCATTCTCTCTCTCCCTCTCTCTCTCTCCCTCTCCCTCTCTCATTCTCTCTCTCACTGTAAGTTTTGGGAAATCTGTGATTGCTTCATGTTTTCCATGAAACAGTTACCAGTTGCTAGACACAGTTACCAGTTGCTTCATGTTTCCCATTTAACAGTTACCAGTTGCTTCATGTTTCCCATTAAACAGTTACCAGTTGCTTCATGATTCCCATAAAACAGTTACCAGTTGCTAGACACAGTTACCAGTTGCTTCATGTTTCCCATGAAACACAGTTACCAGTTGCTTCATTATTCCCATAAAACACAGTTACCAGTTGCTTGACACAGTTACCAGTTGCTTCATGTTTCCCATGAAACACAGTTACCAGTTGCTTCATGTTTCCCATAAAACACAGTTACCAGTTGCTAGACACGGTTACCAGTTGCTTGACGCAGTTACCAGTTGCTTCATGTTTCCCATGAAACACAGTTACCAGTTGCTTCTTGTTTCCCATAAAACAGTTACCAGTTGCTTCATGATTCCCATAAAACACAGTTACCAGTTGCTAGACACAGTTACCAGTTGCTTCATGTTTCCCATAAAACAGTTACCAGTTGCTTGACACAGTTACCAGTTGCTTCATGTTTCCCATGAAACACAGTTACCAGTTGCTTCTTGTTTCCCATAAAACAGTTACCAGTTGCTTCATGATTCCCATAAAACACAGTTACCAGTCGCTAGACACAGTTACCAGTTGCTAGACACAGTTACCAGTTGCTTCATGTTTCCCATAAAACAGTTACCAGTTGCTTGACACAGTTACCAGTTGCTTCATGTTTCCCATGAAACATAGTTACCAGTTGCTTCATGTTTCCCATAAAACACAGTTATCAGTTGCTAGACACGGTTACCAGTTGCTTGACACAGTTACCAGTTGCTTGACACAGTTACCAGTTGCTTGACACAGTTACCAGTTGCTTCATGTTTCCCATAAAACACAGTTACCAGTTGCTTCATGTTTCCCATAAAACACAGTTACCAGTTGCTTCATGATTCCCATAAAACACAGTTACCAGTTGCTAGACACAATTACCAGTTGCTTCATGTTTCCCATTTAACAGTTACCAGTTGCTTCATGATTCCCATAAAACACAGTTACCAGTTGCTAGACACAATTACCAGTTGCTTCATGTTTCCCATTTAACAGTTACCAGTTGCTTCATGATTCCCATAAAACACAGTTATCAGTTGCTAGACACGGTTACCAGTTGCTTGACACAGTTACCAGTTGCTAGACACAATTACCAGTTGCTTCATGTTTCCCATTTAACAGTTACCAGTTGCTAGACACAATTACCAGTTGCTTTGTGTTTCCCATTTAACAGTTACCAGTTGCTTCATGATTCCCATAAAACACAGTTACCAGTTGCTAGACACAATTACCAGTTGCTTCATGTTTCCCATTTAACAGTTACCAGTTGCTTCATGATTCCCATAAAACACAGTTACCAGTTGCTAGACACAATTACCAGTTGCTTCATGTTTCCCATTTAACAGTTACCAGTTGCTTCATGATTCCCTTAAAACACAGTTATCAGTTGCTAGACACGGTTACCAGTTGCTAGACACAATTACCAGTTGCTTCATGTTTCCCATTTAACAGTTACCAGTTGCTTCATGATTCCCATAAAACACAGTTACCAGTTGCTAGACACAATTACCAGTTGCTTCATGTTTCCCATTTAACAGTTACCAGTTGCTTCATGTTTCCCATAAAACACAGTTATCAGTTGCTAGACACGGTTACCAGTTGCTTGACACAGTTACCAGTTGCTAGACACAATTACCAGTTGCTTCATGTTTCCCATTTAACAGTTACCAGTTGCTAGACACAATTACCAGTTGCTTTGTGTTTCCCATGAAACAGTAACCAGTTGCTAGACACGTGGTTGTCTGTGTTGAGCGGAATTTTAATCAGCCTAACCCACATCGCTTAGGCCTACGCTCTCAAGCCCAGGATCCGAACTCATGCCTTTTAGGGTATAAAGTGCATGGTCTACCACTAGACCATGATATCCATAGCTCATACTTTACTTGGCTTATACCACTTCACCTGGCCCATATAGATTCACCTGGCCCATACCACTTCACCTGGCCTATATAGATTCACCTGGCCTATATAGATTCACCTGGCCCATACCACTTCACCTGGCCTATACCACTTCACATGGCCCATACCACTTCACCTGGCCTATATAGATTCACCTGGCCCATACCACTTCACCTGGCCCATATAGATTCACCTGGCCCATACCACTTCACCTGGCCCATACCACTTCACCTGGCCTATATAGATTCACCTGGCCTATATAGATTCACCTGGCCCATACCACTTCACCTGGCCCATACCACTTCACCTGGCCTATATAGATTCACCTGGCCTATATAGATTCACCTGGCCTATACCACTTCACATGGCCCATACCACTTCACCTGGCCTATATAGATTCACCTGGCCCATACCACTTCACCTGGCCCATATAGATTCACCTGGCCCATACCACTTCACCTGGCCTATATAGATTCACCTGGCCTATATAGATTCACCTGGCCATTATAGATTCACCTGGCCATTATAGATTCACCTGGCCCATACCACTTTACTTGGCCTATACCACTTCACATGGCCCATACCACTTCACATGGCCCATATAGATTCCCCTGGCCCATATAGATTGACGTGGCTATTTCCACTTCACTTGGCCCATACCACTTCACCTGGCCCATATAGATTCACCTGGCCCATACCACTTCACCTGGCCTATATAGATTCACCTGGCCTATATAGATTCACCTGGCCATTATAGATTCACCTGGCCATTATAGATTCACCTGGCCCATACCACTTTACTTGGCCTATACCACTTCACATGGCCCATACCACTTCACTTGGCCCATATAGATTCACCTGGCCCATACCACTTCACCTGGCCCATACCACTTCACCTGGCCTATACCACTTCACATGGCCCATACCACTTCACCTGGCCTATATAGATTCACCTGGCCCATACCACTTCACCTGGCCCATATAGATTCACCTGGCCCATACCACTTCACCTGGCCTATATAGATTCACCTGGCCTATATAGATTCACCTGGCCATTATAGATTCACCTGGCCATTATAGATTCACCTGGCCCATACCACTTCACATGGCCCATACCACTTCACATGGCCCATATAGATTCACCTGGCCCATATAGATTGACGTGGCTATTTCCACTTCACTTGGCCCATACCACTTCACCTGGCCCATATAGATTCACCTGGCCCATACCACTTCACCTGGCCTATATAGATTCACCTGGCCTATATAGATTCACCTGGCCATTATAGATTCACCTGGCCCATATAGATTCACCTGGCCCATACCACTTCACATGGCCCATACCACTTCGCATGGCCCATATAGATTCACCTGGCCCATACCACTTCACTTGGCCTATACCACTTCACATGGCCCATACCACTTCACGAGGCCCATACCACTTCATGTGGCCTATAAAAATTCACTTCGCCCATAGAAATTCACATGGCTCGTGTTAATTCACGAAGCCCAAACCACTTCACATGGCTCATACCACTTCACATGGCCCATACCACTTCATGTGGCCCATACAAATTCACATGGCCCATACCATTTCATGTGGCCCATACAGATTAATGTGGCCCATACCACTTCACATGGCCCATACTTCACATGGCCCATACCATTTTATGTGGCATATACAGATTAATGTGGCCCATACCACTTCACAGGGTGATGGAATGGTTTAGCGGTAGAGAGCTGGACTGCTAACCCGTAAGTCTCGAGTTCAAATCTGGGTTCAGGTCTCTAGACCATCCCCGAGTCCACCCAACTCTGATGGGTACCTAACTCATGTTAGGGAAAGTAAAGGCGGCTGGGCATAGTGCTGACCACACTATCTCTTCATATGCTGAGGTCACAGAAACAAGTGAACTCTACTTCACTTGCCCTATAGACCATCAGGTTTGAAAAGAGAACTTTACTTTATACCACTTCACGTGGCCCATACAAATTCACATGGCCCATATAAATTCACCTGGCCCATACCACTTCACGTAATTCACGTGGCCCATACCACTTCACGTGGCCCATACAGATTCACGTGGCCAATATAAATTCACATAGCCTATACATATTTACTTGGCCCATACCACTTCACATGGCCCATACCACTTGTATTAATATTTTACAACAGCTGAATATTTTATTTATCACAATAAGTAGACCTACAAACTAGATTTAAAAAATAGAATATCCTTTGCCTACCTAACTGAAGTAAAAAAAAATGTTTGAATCAGGTGTTTGGCCATGATGTGGTTGATGCCTCCATCTTCCTCAACATTCTTGTAGTCATGCACAAATCCAGCTACGTGCGCATGTACAGCCTGGAAAAACTTGTGGCAGAGGTAATGTGATTTATGTCTTTTTATTTATTTCTTTGATCAATTCATGGCAGAGGTAATGTGATTTATGTCTTTTTATTTATTTCTTTGATCAATTCATGTCATGGGTAACTTGATTTATGTCTTTTTATTTATTTCTTTGATCAATTCATGGCAGAGGTAATGTGATTTATGTCTTTTTATTTATTTCTTTGATCAATTCATGGCAGAGGTAATGTGATTTATGTCTTTTTATTTATTTCTTTGATCAATTCATGTCAGGGGTAACTTGACTTATGTCTTTTTATTTATTTCTTTGATCAATTCATGGCAGAGGTAATGTGATTTATGTCTTTTTATTTATTTCTTTGATCAATTCATGTCAGGGGTAACTTGACTTATGTCTTTTTATTTATTTCTTTGATCAATTCATGGCAGAGGTAATGTGATTTATGTCTTTTTATTTATTTCTTTGATCAATTCATGTCAGGGGTAACTTGATTTATGTCTTTTTATTTATTTTTTTATCAATTTATGTCAGGGTAACTTGATTTATGTCTTTTTATTTATTTTTTTATCAATTTATGTCAGGGGTAACTTGATTTATGTATTTTTATTTATTTTTTAATCAATTTATGTCAGGGGTAACTTGATTTATGTCTTTTTATTTATTTTTTTATCAATTTATGTCAGGGGTAACTTGATTTATGTATTTTTATTTATTTTTTAATCAATTTATGTCAGGGGTAACTTGATTTATGTCTTTTTATTTATTTCTTTGATCAATTCATGGCAGAGGTAATGTGATTTATGTCTTTTTATTTATTTTTTTATCAATTTATGTCAGGGGTAACTTGATTTATGTCTTTTTATTTATTTTTTTATCAATTTATGTCAGGGTAACTTGATTTATGTATTTTTATTTATTTTTTAATCAATTTATGTCAGGGGTAACTTGATTTATGTCTTTTTATTTATTTCTTTGATCAATTTATGGCAGGGGTAACTTGATTTATGTCTTTTTATTTATTTTTTTATCAATTTATGTCAGGGGTAACTTGATTTGTCTTTTTATTTATTTTTTTATCAATTTATGTCAGGGGTAACTTGATTTATGTATTTTTATTTATTTTTTAATCAATTTATGTCAGGGGTAACTTGATTTATGTCTTTTTATTTATTTTTCAACGGTTGCTTCAAGTTTCCCATAACAGAGTTACTAGCTTCTAGATGTGTGGTCAGAGTTGAGCGGATGCAGCCTAACCCTAACCCACGTAGTTTAAGTCTTTGAGAACTCAATAATGTTTCCCTGCCTAGTTTACTTTCTCGTATTTTAAGTAGGCCTATAGATGAAGTATGGTAATCATGCAAAAAATTAAAATTGAGATTTGGGAAAATCTTGATGTTTTAAATTTCCCAGAGTCAGATATCCTGATCAGAGTTTCTTCCAGGCATCACTTCAAAAAAATTCTACCGCCCCCCGAACAAAATGAAATTTATATAATTTATATAGAAAATATATACTTTTAACAGTGTCGTCGCCCCCCCCCCCCCCCCGGAGAAAAGTCTGGAAGTAACACTGAAACTGATTTTTTCCAATTTTGTCTGTGTGTCTGTAGTGATTTAGGTGTGTAGTGGTTTAGGTGTGTAGTGGTTTAGGTGTGTAGTGGTTTAGGTGTGTAGTGATTTAGGTGTGTAGTGGTTTAGGTGTGTAGTGGTTTAGGTGTGTAGTGATTTAGGTGTGTAGTGGTTTAGGTGTGTAGTGGTTTAGGTGTGTAGTGGTTTAGGTGTGTAGTGGTTTAGGTGTGTAGAGTTTAGGTGTGTAGTGGTTTAGGTGTGTAGTGGATTAGGGTTACACGTTTATTTGGTATTTCTATTTCAGAATTTGACACATCCACAAAAATTGTTTGAGAAAACAGATACAGATTCAAGGGTTGGAATGTATCCAACTGGTATCTCACACACCCTCCAGCTCTCTGGTACATCATGTTACCTCACCTTAACCCTTTACTAGTTAAACCCTTAATGCCTGGATTATGTTCCAAACATGTGAAATATAATTTGTGCTGATTTTCTCTCTTCATACTACCACTGATTTTGAGGTATAAAGCATATTGTTAAGTTGAAATTTATGACGTCACACTCTCTTGACTCACCCGCATCGTAAATTTTTTGACTTTGTGAATTCAGCCTACTTACATTGATTATTAACAGTGGTCCGTTTTTACTACCGAAAATACTAATAGCTTTATTATTCACTCCTCTATGTATTTAAACAGTATAAATCACATTTGAGAAAAATTTAGGAAGCAGTGTTTCTTTGAATTTTCCAAGGGTAGGGGCACTGCTAAAAGTATATGTTTTCTAAATTAATTCCATTTCGTTAGGGTGGGAGGGGGGAGGGGGGTCGGTAGACTTTCTTCAGGGGGGTCTCTGTCCAGCTTGTAATACAAAAGTTTATCTTTCAGCCTGCCCAATCTGCCTGTTTGAAGTCCGATGTTGGAATGGAGACGTAATGTTGACCATGCCTCCCTGTTACTATCTTATGTGCCCTTATAAAGAAGATAAAGGTTACTGCTGCTTCTCCTTTGAGACAAAACAAATGGTAGGAAAGAAACCAAGTAATCATGTTTTGTTCATGTATGACTTTAGTGGTTGGAAACCAAGTAATCATGTTTTGTTCATGTATGACTTTAGTGGTTGGAAACCAAGTAATCATGTTTTGTTCATGTATGACTTTAGTGGTTGGAAACCAAGTAATCATGTTTTGTTCATGTATGACTTTAGTGGTTGGAAACCAAGTAATCATGTTTTGTTCATGTATGACTTTAGTGGTTGGAAACCAAGTTATCATGTTTTGTTCATGTATGACTTTAGTGGTTGGAAACCAAGTAATCATGTTTTGTTCATGTATGACTTTAGTGGTTGGAAACCAAGTTATCATGTTTTGTACATGTATGAGATTATGTAATTGTTGAAAACACAGCATCGATAAAAAGGTTTAGGTAGTAGCAATCTGTGTGGTTGGATGGAGGGAACAGCAGCTATAAATAAGGTTTCAGGTTCAAAACCATAGAAAACTGTGGTTTTACAAACTTTAATTTAATTTACCTCCTCTGTCTTAATCCTGTCTATCTGTCTAGCACTTCTAACAGATCAATTTCTCTGACATTCGATATGTGTGTCAAGACCCGATGACAATGCAATATGACATTAAATTTGACTCATTAATTTTTTTATGAATGAAAATTTTCTGAAATTAGCCGGTAGTCTAATCCAACAATTCCACACTATTATATACACATTATCATGTTGATTAGGTGCGCAATAGTTTTTAGTCATGCAATTATTGTATTAAAAATTTTTAAGTACTGAAAAAATAAACCGGTAGTGATTCCCCACTAAACTTTCTCAAATATTCTTATATAACACTGCGGGGGATGGCAACTCAGGATATAGATAATATTTTTAATTCCATTTTTAATTACTTAAACTTTTTAAAATAGAATAGAATCTCTTAGAAAAAGAATTGTGCACCAAGTGCATAAAAACTTTTAATAACAAGCTCTTATGTAATAATGCACTAAAAAGAAAATAAATTATTTTCTTTAAATATATAATAATGCACTACTATTTAAATTAATCTAAAAAAAAGTGTTGGTCTTTTCCTAAATATTAGTCAAGTTATCCAATAGATAATATAGTGAACCACGCTTTTCTTTATAGTATTTTAAATAGTATTGTATTATTATATATTTAAAGAAAATCATTTATTTTCTCCTTTTTATTGCATTATTACATCAAAGCTTATTAAGATGTTTTTTATTAATTTAAAAAAAAATATTTTAGAGTATAAATGGCATTATTAACATAATATTTAAAAGTATTTTATCTAAATTTGGGTTAGTACTCTGTGTTAGTGTGAGGAATAGTCTAAGAAAATAATAAAAATGATTTGTGTCAGAGTAAAGATTAAGAATGAAGAAGAAGAGCAAAGATTAAGAATTTAAACTGAATAACTGAAATAATCATCTTGTTTAGCATATGTAGCAATGTTGGCAGTTTTGTTTTTTACCAGACATTATTTTTGTTATGATAGAGGAAATAAGGAGTGCTCTTATATCCTCTACATTGTAAGAGGATATAAGCAGTGTTTATTTATTACAAAACCTATTAGATGTAATAAGTGTGTGCATATTATGTCTACCCAGATCTTTATCTATGAATAGATCCATGGAGGTCATCTTGAAGCTGAAGATGATGCGTTGAATGAAAGAGTTAGCTTGCATGCAGATGATACAGGCCGGATCATTCACATGAAGAATAAAGAGCTCAGGTGCTTACATCATTCCACTTTGATGGACCAGTTTTTAGATCACTTGTGAACCTGATTTTTCTTTAGGGTGTATCAGTTTATATTATTTAACGTTATATATAGAGCCACATATACACACACATATATGTGTATATATATGGCTATAAGACATTACCCTCCCCCCCCCCCCCCCCGTCAATTACCCCTGGACATTTCCCCCCTGTATTTACCCCTGGAGCAATAACCCCTGTCAATTCCCCCCCCCCCCCCGGGGAATTACCCCCCCTCCCCCTCAATTTAGAATCCTAACCCTAACCTATATCTATATATATAATTCTCTTCTTCGAGCCGTTAGAAAACAAGCTGCAAACGCTCTCCCTACCTCCCTACCCCTACATGGTTTTAGTGAGCTGTGTTCAGTCTAAATGTTTACAAGCAGAGCCAACGATTTTAAACGTAGGGGGGGGGGGGGCGGGGGAGGAGGGGGGGAGGGAAGGAAGGGGGGGGGGTTATGGTCCTTAACGAGCTACTTATAGTGTTTTAAAGAAATATTTTCAGTGTCAGCGTTGGTACTGTCGAATTCACAAATTATGAATTATTGAAAATTAGAAACAACTAAATAGCGGCGTATGTTATGCCGCGGGCCGGCTCGTATTACATTAATCCTAACCTTAAGAAAAAGACCAAAACCTAATACACAAAACCATTGGTTTAAGCCATAGCCCTAGTCATAGTCCTAACCATAGCCCTGTCCGGGGGGGGGGGTGGGGGGTTATGTCCTACTGGGCGGGGGGGGGGGGGGGTAATGCCCTGTTCCGATATGCATAAAGATATATATGTGTGTACATAAAAATGTATATAAAGTTAAGGTAAATGTTGAAATTGACCACTGAGTTGACAAGTGTGGTGAGTGAATTGTTCTACAAGTCTCATGAATATGTGTTTTGTTTTTTAAATAATTGTGACCCACGAGCTGACCTGCGGCTAACATACGTAACATATGCCGATATTTACTGACTTCAAGAAAGTTGTCAAACTGGGGTGAATGGATACACATTGATGCGCATGCCTGGAGAGCTAGGGAGGGGTCGGAGGGTTAGAGAGTCGGCATGCGTGTTGGGTGTTCCGCATGGTTGGGCGACATAGAGAATTATCCTAATATATCCTAATATATAAAAGCCCCTGTGCGCACGTCTCTCTCTCTCTCTCTCTCTCTCTCTCTCTCTCTGTCCGCAAAATATTTTCGCCCGATATCACATCAAAATCTTCAGCGATATATGGAGAACTTGCTACGGACTTTTGTTGAAAATAATATGGTAGATGTTTTAAATGTATAACCACAATTTTATTTAAAGAAGAAAAATAAAAAATAAAGGCGTATTCGAATGTTGAAAAACAGTTTTAATTATGCAACAGGAAAAGCGTTTATAGTTTTGAAAAAGAATGCATAACACAGTGACGTCACTAATGTTTATACATAAACTAATGACGTCATCTGCCGTTTTTAGAATAAAAAGAAATGAACTATTTCATTCAAATATTATTTAGATCTACGTACGCTATAAAATTTATACAATACAATTTTGCTCAGGCTAAACTTAAAAAAAAATTTCTATTAGGATTCTACATCTAGATATTCTAGATCTAGATATTCTAGATCATCTAGATCTAGAGATTGTAGATCATCTAGATCTAGAGATTCTAGATCTAGATCTAGATGATCTAGATTTACGGAAAAACTAGACTTACACGGATGTAGACCCTACCTAGATCTAGAATCTATTCAAATAATACATTTCTATACTAAAGTATTTCAGGCCTTAATTACTTTATTGAAATCTGTGTTTATACAATTTGCTAATCTCTATAATATATAAAGCAAAGTTGTCGGGTGCCCGATAGGGTACTCCCCGGTGCCGCAGGCGCTTCAAATTTGGCAGGATCTTGCCTTGGGGCGACAGAACATGGGGGCCGGTTGGACGAAAAGTCTACGATGAGGGGGTCAAAACTAACCTCGACTGACCGGCGCCTTATATGAGCTATAAATAAAAAAAATGTCCACATAGGAACCTCTTCATAACTCCTGAGGTCGTAGACCGACCCTTGGGCGTATTAATTAAGCATTCAAATTCTCAATAATTTCAAAAGCTTAGCGAAGCTGGGCAGCATGCCTAGTATATATAGAATAGATATGGACTGCATAGAAATGATTGAAATAAAATTTACTTAATAAATATTTGAGCTGGTAATAGGGTGAGACCAACCATCAATTTTGTACATTACTACAGCTCTGTTCAGATGTTTTATATTTAACTAAATAATCATTTGAAAGTAGTTTTATCCATGTTGAGAAAAACAATAAACTTGTATTTTTATAACAGAGTTTTAAAAATTGTACCTATACAAGAAAGTAAAGAAAGAGAGTTGGTTGAGGATTTTGTCATTACTGTTCAAGAGGCGACCAAGGTAATTCTCCATTGGAAGTTCACCTTTTATTTATTTTTTAAATATTTTGAAAAGAAAATTTTATATTTTGTTTGTTGTTGTTGTTGTGGCCACTAGAGTTTGTTGTTGTTGTTGTGGCCACTAGAGTTTGTTGTTGTTGTTGTGGCCACTAGAGTTTGTTGTTGTTGTGGCCACTAGAGTTTGTTGTTGTTGTTGTGGCCACTAGAGTTTGTTGTTGTTGTGGCCACTAGAGTTTGTTGTTGTTGTGGCCACTAGAGTTTGTTGTTGTTGTGGCCACTAGAGTTTGTTGTTGTTGTTGTGGCCACTAGAGTTTGTTGTTGTTGTTGTTGTGGCCACTAGAGTTTGTTGTTGTTGTTGTGGCCACTAGAGTTTGTTGTTGTTGTGGCCAATAGAGTTTGTTGTTGTTGTTGTTGTGGCCACTAGAGTTTGTTGTTGAGAGTTTGTTGTTGTTGTGGCCACTAGAGTTTGTTGTTGTTGTGGCCACTAGAGTTTGTTGTTGTTGTGGCCACTAGTTTGTTGTTCTTGTTGTGGCCACTAGAGTTTGTTGTTGTTGTTGTTGTTGTTGTGGCCACTAGAGTTTGTTGTTGTTGTTGTTGTGGCCACTAGAGTTTGTTGCTGTTGTGGCCACTAGAGTTTGTTGTTGTTGTGGCCACTAGAGTTTGTTGTTGTTGTTGTTGTGGCCACTAGAGTTTGTTGTTGTTGTGGCCACTAGAGTTTGTTGTTGTTGTGGCCACTAGAGTTTGTTGTTGTTGTTGTTGTGGCCACTAGAGTTTGTTGTTGTTGTGGCCATTAGAGTTTGTTTTTGTCTGGCACACCTATGCCAACATGCATGTGCCAAATGGCCTGTTTACTCTATGAATTTGCTTTTCGCTGTAAACCAGCAGTTGTTTGATCTGACACTATTCTCACCTAGATTGGTTTCTGGTCAAACTAATGGTCACATGATTTCACTCACATATACTGGTCAAACTAATGGTCACATGATTTCACTCACATATACTGGTCAAACTAATGGTCACATGATTTCACTCACATATACTGGTCAAACTAATGGTCACATGATTTCACTCACATATACTGGTCAAACTAATGGTCACATGAATTCACTCACATATACATAGTTTTAATATGCCCTATGATTGGTATACATGATTTCACTCACATATACATAGTTTTAATATGCCCTATGATTGGTATACATGATTTCACTCACATATACATAGTTTTAATATGCCCTATGATTGAAATCAAAGTCTTCTGTGTTCTCAAATTTTATTGATTTCTGCTTTTTTTAACTTTGATAATTATAATCGATTAATTTTGTTTCTTTGAAACAGCCTCAACTCCCAACAATAACAATGTCTGGTAGAGTTGTTAAACCAAGGAAAAAAGAAAATTGTGTTGAGATTGTTGATAGGGTAAGTAGCCAGTCATGTCTGTTAGCTGATTGAGATGGCTGGCTAAAGTAGCTAATATATCATTTTGCTTTAGAGGGTGTTGATGTTTATATTTCAGTCTGTGTTGATGATGTTTTTATTTCAGTTTGTGTTGATGTTTTTATTTCAGTTTGTGTTGATGTTTTTATTTCAGTTTGTGTTGATGATGTTTTTATTTCAGTCTGTGTTGATGTTTTTATTTCAGTCTGTGTTGATGATGTTTTTATTTCAGTTTGTGTTGATGATGTTTTTATTTCAGTCTGTGTTGATGTTTTTATTTCAGTTTGTGTTGATGATGTTTTTATTTCAGTCTGTGTTCATGATGTTTTTATTTCAGTTTGTGTTGATGATGTTTTTATTTCAGTTTGTGTTGATGATGTTTTTATTTCAGTTTGTGTTGATGTTTTTATTTCAGTTTGTGTTGATGATGTTTTTATTTCAGTCTGTGTTGATGTTTTTATTTCAGTTTGTGTTGATGATGTTTTTATTTCAGTCTGTGTTGATGTTTTTATTTCAGTTTGTGTTGATGATGTTTTTATTTCAGTCTGTGTTGATGTTTTTATTTCAGTTTGTGTTGATGATGTTTTTATTTCAGTTTGTGTTGATGATGTTTTTATTTCAGCTTGTGTTGATGATGTTTTTATTTCAGTCTGTGTTGATGATGTTTTTATTTCAGTTTGTGTTGATGATGTTTTTATTTCAGTTTGTGTTGATGTTGTTTTTATTTCAGTCTGTGTTGATGATGTTTTTATTTCAGTTTGTGTTGATGATGTTTTTATTTCAGTCTGTGTTGATGTTTTTATTTCAGTCTGTGTTGATGATGTTTTTATTTCAGTCTGTGTTGATGATGTTTTTATTTCAGTCTGTATTGACAATGGTCTACAGCGAAGAGTTGGATATGATGCTAGTAGTGTCTACTGTCACTAAGGGGGATCATTTGAGCACTGTTCTTGGTTTCTATGACAATTGGAATGGGCAAATGCTGTCCCAGTTTACCCTTGAACCCTGCACCTTGGAGGTTTGAGTTTTTTTTTTGTTTTTTTTTTAGTGTTTAGCAGTGGGTGCAGCCAGTTGAGGTTCCATGGCAAATGATCTCAGACAAAATATCTCACTGACAAATGCTCTCAGGACAAATGATCTCAGAACAAATGATCTCAGGACAAAATATCTCAAGGGCAAATGATCTTAGGACAAAGATATCAGGACAAATTATACCACAGACAAAAGATATCAGGACAAATTATACCACTGACAAAAGATATCAGGACAAATTATACCACGGACAAAAGATATCAGGACAAATTATACCACAGACAAAAGATATCAGGACAAATTATACCACAGACAAAAGTTATCAGGACAAATTATACCACTGACAAAAGATATCAGGACAAATTATACCACTGACAAAAGATATCAGGACAAATTATACCACAGACAAAAGATATCAGGACAAATTATACCACTGACAAAAGATATCAGGACAAATTATACCACTGACAAAAGATATCAGGACAAATTATACCACTGACAAAAGATATCAGGACAAATTATACCACTGACAAAAGATTTACTTTGCTGACTGAGACATGCTGTAGGGGAGAAGGTGTTCGCTCACTGTTGACAATACTGCTATCATTTCAAACCAATAGTTACATTTTGGCTCACTGTTGACAATACTGCTATCATTTCAAACCAATAGTTACATTTTGGCTCACTGTTGACAATACTGCTATCATTTCAAACCAATAGTTACATTTTGGCTCACTGTTGACAATACTGCTATCATTTCAAACCAATAGTTACATTTTGGCTCACTGTTGACAATACTGCTATCATTTCAAACCAATAGTTACATTTTGGCTCACTGTTGACAATACTGCTATCATTTCAAACCAATAGTTACATTTTGGCTCACTGTTGACAATACTGCTATCATTTCAAACCAATAGTTACATTTTGGCTCACTGTTGACAATACTGCTATCATTTCAAACCAATAGTTACATTTTGGCTCACTGTTGACAATACTGCTATCATTTCAAATCAATAGTTACATTTTGGCTCACTGTTGACAATACTGCTATCATTTCAAATCAATAGTTACATTTTGGCTCACTGTTGACAATATCATTTCAAACCAATAGTTACATTTTGGCTCACTGTTGACAATACTGCTATCATTTCAAACCAATAGTTACATTTTGGCTCACTGTTGACAATACTGCTATCATTTCAAACCAATAGTTACATTTTGGCTCACTGTTGACAATACTGCTATCATTTCAAACCAATAGTTACATTTTGGCTCACTGTTGACAATACTGCTATCATTTCAAACCAATAGTTACATTTTGGCTCACTGTTGACAATACTGCTATCATTTCAAACCAATAGTTACATTTTGGCTCACTGTTGACAATATCATTTCAAACCAATAGTTACATTTTGGCTCACTGTTGACAATACTGCTATCATTTCAAACCAATAGTTACATTTTGGCTCACTGTTGACAATACTGCTATCATTTCAAACCAATAGTTACATTTTGGCTCACTGTTGACAATACTGCTATCATTTCAAACCAATAGTTACATTTTGGCTCACTGTTGACAATACTGCTATCATTTCAAACCAATAGTTACATTTTGGCTCACTGTTGACAATACTGCTATCATTTCAAACCAATAGTTACATTTTGGCTCACTGTTGACAATACTGCTATCATTTCAAATCAATAGTTACATTTTGGCTCACTGTTGACAATACTGCTATCATTTCAAACCAATAGTTACATTTTGGCTCACTGTTGACAATACTGCTATCATTTCAAACCAATAGTTACATTTTGGCTCACTGTTGACAATACTGCTATCATTTCAAACCAATAGTTACATTTTGGCTCACTGTTGACAATACTGCTATCATTTCAAACCAATAGTTACATTTTGGCTCACTGTTGACAATACTGCTATCATTTCAAACCAATAGTTACATTTTGGCTCACTGTTGACAATACTGCTATCATTTCAAACCAATAGTTACATTTTGGCTCACTGTTGACAATACTGCTATCATTTCAAACCAATAGTTACATTTTGGCTCACTGTTGACAATACTGCTATCATTTCAAACCAATAGTTACATTTTGGCTCACTGTTGACAATACTGCTATCATTTCAAACCAATAGTTACATTTTGGCTCACTGTTGACAATACTGCTATCATTTCAAACCAATAGTTACATTTTGGCTCACTGTTGACAATATCATTTCAAACCAATAGTTACATTTTGGCTCACTGTTGACAATACTGCTATCATTTCAAACCAATAGTTACATTTTGGCTCACTGTTGACAATACTGCTATAATTTCAAACCAATAGTTACATTTTGGCTCACTGTTGACAATACTGCTATCATTTCAAACCAATAGTTACATTTTGGCTCACTGTTGACAATACTGCTATCATTTCAAACCAATAGTTACATTTTGGCTCACTGTTGACAATACTGCTATCATTTCAAACCAATAGTTACATTTTGGCTCACTGTTGACAATACTGCTATCATTTCAAACCAATAGTTACATTTTGGCTCACTGTTGACAATACTGCTATCATTTCAAACCAATAGTTACATTTTGGCTCACTGTTGACAATACTGCTATCATTTCAAACCAATAGTTACATTTTGGCTCACTGTTGACAATACTGCTATCATTTCAAACCAATAGTTACATTTTGGCTCACTGTTGACAATACTGCTATCATTTCAAATCAATAGTTACATTTTGGCCATTCTCTAGTGGTCACTTGCATATTTAAACTACTGTGGTCATTGCGGAGCAAAGTTAATCATAAGTTCATAACCATCAAAGACTTTTACTAGTTATTTCCCAGCTATGGCCTCTTTTGTTACATCGCAGAAAGGCATCTGCACTTTTAAGTCATCAGATTTACTCTGAACAACAGCCAGAAAAGAAAAGTTAACATTACTTTTCTGTTGATGATGCAATAAAAACATAATTTTTACATTACTAACCTGAGTAACCTGAAAACAAATTCACTTTCTTGAAAACTATTTCACATATTTTGAACATTAATGTAATTAAGGCTTCCATCATTTTATTTGTTATATGCATTTTATCATATACATTTCATATAAAATGCTATTTAAAAACTGTAGTTTAACTCATTCATTTAGTATATCTCAAAAAAAAATCCAAATGACTCTAAAAAAAGGTTAAAATTGACTAAAATCTTCCTAAATAATATCAATATTTTACTGTGAGATCATTTGTCTGTGAGATCATTTGTCTGCCTATACTCCATAGATTTACACTGTACACTTATATCTCTGACAATACTATACTCCATAAAGCTACATGTATATCTCTGACAATACTATACTCCATAAAGTTACATGTATATTTCTGACAATTCTATACTCCATAAAGTTACATGTATATCTCTGACAATACTATACTCCATAAAGTTACATGTATATTTCTGACAATTCTATACTCCATAAAGTTACATGTATATCTCTGACAATACTATACTCCATAAAGTTACATGTATATTTCTGACAATTCTATACTCCATAAAGTTACATGTATATCTCTGACAATACTATACTCCATAAAGTTACATGTATATTTCTGACAATACTATACTCCATAAAGTTACATTTATATCTCTGACAATACTATACTCCATAAAGTTACATGTATATTTCTGACAATTCTATACTCCATAAAGTTACATGTATATCTCTGACAATACTATTTAAAACTGTAATAAAAAAACTAAGAGATGAGTGGGTTGTGATTCTACTTTACAATTGTCAAGATTTTTGTGGAGATTATCCATGAGAAATGAGAATGAAATAACTATCAGCATCGACTTGTTTACTGTTATCAATCTGGGGTTAAGTAGTCATCTAGTCTTTATTAGAATTTGCTAGGTGGCTTTTCTTAATCAATCAAGTACAATTGATTTCTTTGATTTTGGTTTTAGGTCCTAGAGCGTTCTGTATGTTTTTATTTTGACACTGTGACGCATGTGATCAAGAGATATGATGGCAGATTTGAATGCCAAGTTTTTAAACTTCAACCTAAGCTAGACATGGCTGATGAATGGAAGGGGAACAAACTGTGTACAAAAGAAAGAAACAGATAACAGAGCTCTAAGTTTTAAACTAACCAGGTTGAAAGTATTATCCAATCTTAAGGGCAGCCTAAATATTCAATTCTTTTAGCAGCTTTTAATACATTCATATTTTGACTGAAAATTAAATGTATTTTATATAAACCTTGTTTTAGTTTGATATTATTCTAATGGACTCTGTATCTAACTGTGTTTTTGAAAAGCTGTGGAATGTGCAGATGGTGTAGGGATGAGGGAAAAACTTGTTTCAATTCTCTTCTAGAGTACACACTCACAAATATATATATATATTCTAGAGTACACACTCACAAATATATATATATATTCTAGAGTACACACTCACAAATATATATATATTCTAGAGTACGCACTCACAAATATATATATATTCATTGTGGGAGTGACAAGATAGTGACTCCGTTGGGGGGGGGGGGGGGGGGGAAATTGATGCCAATGATTTGATATAGGCTCTCTGTTTTTCTCAAATTTCAACCTCTACTTTTCATCCATCGATTTGATGGTGGTTTTTGTACAAAACAAATAGGCCTACTAATATACTATGGCAGTACACCACTTCAGGAAAGATTTTTTTTAAAGAAAATAAACAGGAAATCGCATAGCGGATGGTGCTTCACCCCAGACCCCCTTCCAGGATATTGTCCATTCCCCATTCCCCACTGCTTTGCCCGGGTTTAGGAAATATATTACCTTTCAAATTAACCCTATCCAAACCCAACCAAAAACAAATGTAAACATAACATAAACACAAACAAAAACTCAAATATAAACACAATACAAAACAAACTAAAAAACAAATGCATATGAAAACCTTAAGGCTAAGATAAACAATAACGCAGAACATAAACACAAATTTAAATGCAAACGCACAGTACTCACAATATAGCCTGGGGCGCCAAATCATGACAATAATACCCCATTTTATCCATAGTCTATTCAACTCACTTAAACAAATGTAGGCGCCATAGCAACCTGCCGGGGGGGGGGGGGGGGGGGGGGGGGGGGGCTGGCAGACATGCCTGATTCAATTTAGTGAACAACTATAATACTTGTTACTGCCATCTCAAAATAATTACCCATGTGAAATAACTTATCGAATGGACAAAGCTGATTCATTGCCTTAATTGCTTCAAAAGCAGTTAAAACCTGGTTATTTTATTATTTTTTGGCTTATAACGGATGTTTAACCTGGTTATTTTATTATTTTTTGGCTTATAACGGATGTTTGGCCAACAAAAGTTCTCTATTGGTTGACCACATGATTTATTTCTTCCTATTCTGGAATCTCAAGATTTTTTCAAACATTATCTATTATAAATTTATAATATTGTTGGAACCTAATAGAAATAACAAATTTATCATTAAAGCTATTGTAACACATATGGTTACCAGCCAAGGGGGGATAACAAATAAAGTTTTAATTCATTGAGTTGCAACCCCTGTGGGGCCGTAGCCCTGTTGATGTAGTTTTTTTTCATGCTCTTGTGAGCGATTTTACCTGTGTCCTATGTCATGGGACTATGGGTAGTTTCGTGCCTAGCCGTGTCAGTCACACGCAAGGCTGCTGTCTGTGGACACGGTGACGGTACCAAGATGTAGACCTAATGAAGGTAGTGTGGTTATATAAATTATGTTTATTGTTAGAATACTTATTTGTGTATTCCTGCTAGTGCTGCATGTGCACACTAGTTAGGTTGAGTATTTATTTAAGTATTTATTGTTGTACTACTTATTGGTACTTGTTGGCAGTACTATGTACTGACCGCAACACAGAGGCGTAGCGACCCTTCCCAGTGCCCGGGAACAAACTTTTCGATTTGCACCCCCCCCCCCCTCAAACTTTCGATTTGCACCCCCCCCCAAACTTTCGATTTCCACCCCTCTCAACCTTTCAATTTATTTTTCCAACCCATTTTGGCGCCCCCTAAGGTCGGCGCCCGGGGACATATGTCCCCCCCCCCCCCTCGCTACGCTACTGCCGCAACATTTTATTGTACCCGTGTATGTTTGTAGCCTACACATGGTGTTATCATGAATGTAACTTTTTCTTTACATTAGTTTTAGGGCTACAGTTTTTGTTTCTCTGTGAGTATTTTGCTGTTCTTCTTGTATTCAACTGTAATCGTCATACTACTGTTGTGCTGCATCGCCTTCATGGCTTGATGTAGTGAATAAGGCCAGTACGTGACAACAACTGTCGGTGTCAGTGTGTCCTAAATCTCAGGGTCAGCCCGTCCCACAACACCTCAGTGGGTAAAAGCATCCCCACTGAGTGAGGGTTACACTATAGCCAAAAGATAAAAAGGCATTATAACCGCAGTAAACTTGACAATCAGCAACTTTGGCTCTGATAGTCAACTGAATCTCACAAATATTTCCTGTGTATTTGAAAATATAACACATTACTTCTCTGGTTGTGTAATTAAATATATGTTTTTACATTAGAATTACAGTCTCAAAATAAAATTATAATAATAAATTCAGTATAGTCAGAATTTTTTTTTTAAATTTGATGATAAAATGTGACAGAGAGAAAGTTGATGATAAAATGTGACAGAGAGAAAGTTGATGATAAAATGTGACTGAGAGAAAGTTGATGATAAAATGTGACAGAGAGAAAGTTGATGATAAAATGTGACAGAGTGAAAGTTGATGATAACATGTGACAGAGAGAAAGTTGATGATAAAATGTGACAGAGAGAAAGTTGATGATAAAATGTGACAGAAAGAAAGAATAGCACACCTGGACTCTTATGTATTAAGATAGGCAATATCTAGGCCTATATATTATATAGCATATTATATACAGAGTTTCTTCCAGGCACCTCTTCGCCTGTAATGTATAATGAAATAATGTAGATAGAGATCTAGTAGTATTAGTATTACGGATTACATTAGGCCTTTTAAAGCTTGTTTGCGATTTTACCGTAAAGCGACGTAAACGGGAATTCCCATTATAACACGCTATTAATGATTGACCAAGCATTTTGTCACTGCTGATCATCTTCTTTCGATTTAAAACGTGTTTGAAATTAAAGGTTATAAATAGGGCCTATTAACTATTAACTCAATTCAATAAGGCATAAGGCCATTTGAAAGAGGGATCTAGATCACACAGATCTATATCACTATATCTAGATCTAGTCATTATAGTTTATTTTACCTATTTTAGCAGTAATCTAGTGCATTCCTTATTAATATTATTAATTTAATGTTAAATTTAATACTACTAGATCTATTACGATCTTGATCTAGAGCTAGATCTATTACTAGAATCTATTAGATCTAGACTAGTACTATTAGAATCTAGAGGATCTAGACCTAGATATCTAGATCTAGAATCTAATCTAGATCTAGTATTATTTTAGGTATTACTAGACTGAGACTTATTGAAACTATATTCGTTTTTTTTTTTAAAATAGGGCCTAGATCTAGATCTACAATCTACATAGTACATAATAACATGTCTAGATCTAGAAAGATCTACTTTTATTTGCCATAAAATAGTTTGGGGCCTAAGTATTCTAGACATTTCTAGACCTAATCTAGATCTAGGCCCTAGACCTAGATATCTGATTATTACTATCTATAACACTACAGTATAATATAGTATAGTTAAGTATAGTACTATAGAGTATAATAAAACAAGTTAATTAAAAAGTCTAGTGACAATTTTAGCGCAATTTCCTTATTTTATCTAAAAATAGCTCTGTCGTAGCGTAAATCAAGAGCAGGGTTAGTAAAACCATTGGTTAGTTATTAAAACGTTTTTTATTAAAAAAAAATTTCAGTATTTTACATGTTTTATTTACAATAGAGTTACATGACTAAAAACCATTGCGAGCCTAGCTACTGAACGTGATGAAGAAGCCATAGAACGTGATGGTGCAGCTATTGAACGTGATGACGCGTGTGGTGTGGTTGGAAAAAATGCCTACTAATTCGGTCCAAATTTTAATTAATTCAAAAAAATTTTTGTGACCGAACGAAAGGATATTTTTGAAAACTTTCTTCGGCAATATTGTTCTAAATTATGGCAGGAATCGATTGGTAAATGTTTCAAGTCGCTAAGTGGTCTGGTTGCCGAGATATGGGCCAAAAACTGCTTTTTTCTGAGGTTTTTTGGCTTTTCCAGGAAATCCATGAAAGAAACCCGGAATTTTTATAGCCTATGTTCATCCTCGTAACTTGCTTAACATAATTGCTTTTGGAACTAGTCATCGATATTGCTTCGTTGAGGAGGAGATACGACTTAAAGCTGCGGACACCCATCCATCCATCCATCCATCCATTCATCCATTCATACATTCATACATCCAGAAATGATGAATGGAAATTGCGCTAAAAAAGGGTAATCTATCGTTTTAGGTACGTAAAATCGCCCGCGACTAGTAATGTGAAAAACAGGTGACTCCTTACATTTTAATAATTATTTCACATTTTGGGGAGGATTTATGTTTTAAAAAATACAAAAATGTTTCCTTGTTTCATTTATGTACCTGTTTTTAAACAATTGAATTAAAACTTTTCAGTAATAAATGAAGACTAGCGATGTTTCCAACAGATGCAACATTGCTCATTTACTTTAGCAGCCATCTTGTTAAAGTTTTATTTTTATAGACTTATAGCGCGAGATTCAGGCGGAAGTCACTCTATTTTACAAATGGCTGCTGTTTATATAGCAAATCTTGCTTGCAGACACTGCTGTTTAAAGTTAATTTCTGGCCTATATTGATATATTTAGCCATTGATTTAGGTTTATTATTCATTTATCTATAATATTTGACACAAACATATCACAATATACTTCTATTACAGCCTTGGTAATGAGGTAACGTTTTTGTACATTAATAGCCGCGGGTGATTTTACGTACCCAAAACGATAGATTACCAAAAAAAGTAACACCTAGATCTAGATCTAAGCCTAAATAAAGTTAATTACTTTTGCTTTGTTTCTATTTTAGCTAATCAATCTTGTAACCTGAACTCTATTGGGAGAAAAAGATTTTCCTCGTCTTTATGAATATCTTTTGGAAATTAAATCTTCTTAATTTAGTTCGAATCAGCCAAGCATTTTATTCTGGCCGTCAAATGTTTTCAAAAATGTCCTCTCTTAGTCGTGGTAATTCATCAACTAACTTAAAAACTAGTGATGTGACAAAAAAAGCAGTGATTGGTGTATGTCAGATGAATTCAACATCTCTGAAGGTAGATAATTTACAAACCATCTTGGATCTTGTAGGAACAGCAAGTGCAAGAGGTGCTCAAGTAGGTCTCTCAAATCTTTCTCAAACTTAACATTCTTTCAAATCTTTCTCAAATTTGAAATTCTTTCACATCTAAATTTAATAATAATATGCTAAATTATTCAAAATATATTTTTGAAGTGTCAATTATATATTATGTTAAACAATAGGGGTCATCCATTTATGACAACCATACTGGGGGGGGGGGGGTCTGGTCCCGATGTAAACGTCCACATGCGGAATCAAACCACAAAATACTTTCATTACAGCTGATAGTTTTAAAAAATGTAGATTATACATTAAATCAGCATTTCTCGTAGTAAGTGTATCAGTAATGTAGCTGTATACCGCCCACCTAAGGAAAAAGCTTTTTTTTTAATGCCGGGGGGGGGGGGGGGAGATGGGGCAGTGCCCAGGCTATTTTCTAAAACAATTCATGGTATTTCCAGTTTATTTTTAAACATTTCAAACGATTGTAACTAAATCATAGTAGGCCTACATCATTATTTTGTGTCTAAGCTTAAGATGATGTAGATCTAGTCTTTTTTTTTTCTCAAGTAAAACACTCAAAACAAACATTTAAATATCAGCGCATGTTTAATGTGCTCACTTGGTCAGGTATGTAGGGCTAACAGTCAGCAAGACCACAAAAAGGGGAGAGGCTGTTTGTTATGGAAACACATGCAGCGTAAAGTTGAGTAAAATTAATACAATGGCGTCACATTAATAAGCCGAATATACCCAAACCCATATAGTCATTGATAGCTAGACATGCACAATTGACATTAAAAAATTCAGTCTACAGCATCTTTAAGTTAAAAAAAAAAATTATGACTGCCTGCAATCTCTGACCCTTTATGAAAAACATTGGTTAAAAATGCATTTAAAATTGAGAGACAGGGTACACAGTATCCCAGGGGGAATCACTCTCTCAATAAAGAACAATTTTAGATAGTCTTAGCACATTCACTTTGGTAAGTTTACAATTTTAGATAGTCTTAGCACATTCACTTTGGTAAGTTTACAATTTCAGATAGTCTTAGCATATTCACTTTGGTAAGTTTACAATTTCAGATAGTCTTAGCACATTCACTTTGGTAAGTTTACAATTTCAGATAGTCTTAGCACATTCACTTTGGTAAGTTTACAATTTCAGATAGTCTTAGCATATTCACTTTGGTAAGTTTACAATTTCAGATAGTCTTAGCATATTCACTTTGGTAAGTTTACAATTTCAGATAGTCTTAGCATATTCACTTTGGTAAGTTTACAATTTCAGATAGTCTTAGCATATTCACTTGTTAAGTTTACAATTTTAGATAGTCTTAGCACATTCACTTTGGTAAGTTTACAATTTCAGATAGTCTTAGCATATTCACTTTGGTAAGTTTACAATTTCAGATAGTCTTAGCACATTCACTTGGTAAGTTTACAATTTCAGATAGTCTTAGCACATTCACTTGGTAAGTTTACAATTTCAGATAGTCTTAGCACATTCACTTTGGTAAGTTTACAATTTCAGATAGTCTTAGCATATTCACTTTGGTAAGTTTACAATTTTAGATAGTCTTAGCACATTCACTTTGGTAAGTTTACAATTTCAGATAGTCTTAGCACATTCACTTTGGTAAGTTTACAATTTCAGATAGTCTTAGCATATTCACTTTGGTAAGTTTACAATTTTAGATAGTCTTAGCACATTCACTTTGGTAAGTTTACAATTTCAGATAGTCTTAGCATATTCACTTTGGTAAGTTTACAATTTCAGATAGTCTTAGCACATTCACTTTGGTAAGTTTACAATTTCAGATAGTCTTAGCATATTCACTTTGGTAAGTTTACAATTTTAGATAGTCTTAGCACATTCACTTTGGTAAGTTTACAATTTTAGATAGTCTTAGCATATTCACTTGGTAAGTTTACAATTTTAGATAGTCTTAGCATATTCACTTGGTAAGTTTACAATTTTAGATAGTCTTAGCACATTCACTTTGGTAAGTTTACAATTTTAGATAGTCTTAGCATATTCACTTGGTAAGTTTACAATTTTAGATAGTCTTAGCATATTCACTTGGTAAGTTTACAATTTTAGATAGTCTTAGCATATTCACTTGGTAAGTTTACAATTTTAGATAGTCTTAGCATATTCACTTGGTAAGTTTACAATTTCAGATAGTCTTAGCATATTCACTTTGGTAAGTTTACAATTTCAGATAGTCTTAGCATATTCACTTTGGTAAGTTTACAATTTTAGATAGTCTTAGCATATTCACTTGGTAAGTTTACAATTTTAGATAGTCTTAGCATATTCACTTGGTAAGTTTACAATTTTAGATAGTCTTAGCATATTCACTTGGTAAGTTTACAATTTTAGATAGTCTTAGCATATTCACTTGGTAAGTTTACAATTTCAGATAGTCTTAGCATATTCACTTGGTAAGTTTACAATTTTAGATAGTCTTAGCACATTCACTTGGTAAGTTTACAATTTTAGATAGTCTAAGCATATTCACTTTGGTAAGTTTACAATTTCAGATAGTCTTAGCACATTCACTTTGGTAAGTTTACAATTTCAGATAGTCTTAGCATATTCACTTTGGTAAGTTTACAATTTCAGATAGTCTTAGCATATTCACTTTGGTAAGTTTACAATTTTAGATAGTCTTAGCACATTCACTTTGGTAAGTTTACAATTTCAGATAGTCTTAGCATATTCACTTTGGTAAGTTTACAATTTCAGATAGTCTTAGCACATTCACTTGGTAAGTTTACAATTTCAGATAGTCTTAGCATATTCACTTTGGTAAGTTTACAATTTCAGATAGTCTTAGCATATTCACTTTGGTAAGTTTACAATTTCAGATAGTCTTAGCATATTCACTTTGGTAAGTTTACAATTTCAGATAGTCTTAGCATATTCACTTTGGTAAGTTTACAATTTCAGATAGTCTTAGCATATTCACTTTGGTAAGTTTACAATTTCAGATAGTCTTAGCATATTCACTTTGGTAAGTTTACAATTTTAGATAGTCTTAGCATATTCACTTTGGTAAGTTTACAATTTTAGATAGTCTTAGCATATTCACTTTGGTAAGTTTACAATTTCAGATAGTCTTAGCATATTCACTTTGGTAAGTTTACAATTTCAGATAGTCTTAGCATATTCACTTTGGTAAGTTTACAATTTTAGATAGTCTTAGCATATTCACTTTGGTAAGTTTACAATTTCAGATAGTCTTAGCATATTCACTTGGTAAGTTTACAATTTTAGATAGTCTTAGCACATTCACTTTGGTAAGTTTACAATTTCAGATAGTCTTTGCATATTCACTTTGGTAAGTTTACAATTTCAGATAGTCTTAGCACATTCACTTTGGTAAGTTTACAATTTTAGATAGTCTTAGCATATTCACTTTGGTAAGTTTACAATTTCAGATAGTCTTAGCATATTCACTTTGGTAAGTTTACAATTTCAGATAGTCTTAGCATATTCACTTTGGTAAGTTTACAATTTCAGATAGTCTTAGCACATTCACTTTGGTAAGTTTACAATTTCAGATAGTCTTAGCATATTCACTTTGGTAAGTTTACAATTTCAGATAGTCTTAGCACATTCACTTTGGTAAGTTTACAATTTTAGATAGTCTTAGCATATTCACTTTGGTAAGTTTACAATTTTAGATAGTCTTAGCACATTCACTTGGTAAGTTTACAATTTTAGATAGGCTTAGCACATTCTCTTGGTAAGTTTACAATTTTAGATAGGCTTAGCACATTCACTTGGTAAGTTTACAATTTTAGATAGGCTTAGCACATTCACTTGGTAAGTTTACAATTTCAGATAGTCTTAGCACATTCACTTTGGTAAGTTTACAATTTTAGATAGTCTTAGCATATTCACTTTGGTAAGTTTACAATTTTAGATAGTCTTAGCATATTCACTTTGGTAAGTTTACAATTTCAGATAGTCTTAGCACATTCACTTTGGTAAGTTTACAATTTTAGATAGTCTTAGCATATTCACTTTGGTAAGTTTACAATTTTAGATAGTCTTAGCATATTCACTTCGGTAAGTTTACAATTTTAGATAGTCTTAGCACATTCACTTGGTAAGTTTACAATTTTAAATAGGCTTAGCACATTCACTTGGTAAGTTTACAATTTTAGATAGTCTTAGCACATTCACTTGGTAAGTTTACAATTTTAAATAGGCTTAGCACATTCACTTGGTAAGTTTACAATTTTAGATAGTCTTAGCACATTCACTTGGTAAGTTTACAATTTTAGATAGTCTTAGCACATTCACTTGGTAAGTTTACATGCCTTAGACATACAGACATTTAGGCCTAGTAATAGATGTTGCTGAAAGTATCAAATCCCTATATTACATTATCAGTTGATGTACACATTGCATGTAAATGAATTAGTAATTTTGCAGCATGTTTTGAGAGGTCTACTAAATTATGGTGGACGTCCACAGTGGGGGTTGGGGGTCGTCAAAAGTAAAAGGGGGGGGGGGGGGGCTAAAATTCCAAATGTTTGCGGGCGTCATAAATGGATAATCCCAAGCTCTAATTGGAACTACTTTGAAATATTAAATGTGCAGCATATCTATTATGACAGATGAAATGTGCAGCATATCTATTATGACAGATGAAATGTGCAACATATCTATTATGACAGATGAAATGTGCAGCATATCTATTATGACAGATGAAATGTGCAGCATATCTATTATGACAGATGAAATGTGCAGCATATCTATTATGACAGATGAAATGTGCAGCATATCTATTATGACAGATGAATTGTGCAGCATATGAAATGTGCAGCATATCTATTATGACAGATGAAATGTGCAGCCTATCTATTATGACAGATGAAATGTGCAGCCTATCTATTATGACAGATATTTGATGTATCTACAGATGGTGTTCCTGCCCGAAGCCTGTGATTACATTGGTGAATCAAAAAATCAGTCGATTGAGTATTCAGAGACTCTCGATGGAAACTTCATCCATCAGCTACAAAAAGCTGCCATTCGAAACAAAGTCTGGCTCTCAGTGGGAGGCTATCACCAAAAAGTATTTATTTCATCTTTTTTTAAGGCCATTGTGAAAAAAGATTTTTTACTAGTTAGTGTCTAAGTGAAGAGTAGTTAGGTTAGGATTAAAGTAATCTAGGTATGTGTTAGTCACAAGATGATGCTTTTACTAAGGCCTACTATTAGGTCACTTTATAGCTTCATCGTCTCATCATCTTTTCCTTAGAGTGCCAAGACTAGATGTTGAGTTCATCAATTTCAGATGAATGAGTAGTATGGTCAGCACTAAAAATATAACTTCCCACTGTAAACACAACTTCCCACTGTAAACACAACTTCCAACTATAAACACACAACTTACCACTCTGTAAACACAACTTCCCACTGTAAACACAACTTCCAACTATAAACACACAACTTACCACTCTGTAAACACAACTTCAAACACTGTAAACACAACTTCCAACACTGTAAACACAACTTATCACTGTAAACACAACTTCCCACTGTAAACACAACTTCCCACTCTGTAAACATAACTTCCCACTCTGTAAACATAACTTCCAACTGTAAACACAACTTATCACTGTAAACACAACTTCCAACTATAAACACAACTTCCAACTATAAACACAACTTCCAACTATAAACACAACTTCCAACTATAAACACACAACTTACCACTCTGTAAACACAACTTCCAACACTGTAAACACAACTTCCAACACTGTAAACACAACTTATCACTGTAAACACAACTTCCAACTGTAAACACACAACTTACCATTCTGTAAACACAACTTCCCACTCTGTAAACGAAACTTGTTACTCTGTAAACACAACCTCCCACACTGTAAACATAACTTACCACTGTGTAAACACAACTTCCAACTGTTAACACACAACTTACCATTCTGTAAACACAACCTCCCACACTGTAAACATAACTTACAACTTTGTAAACACAACTTACCACTTTGTAAACACAACTTTCAACTGTAAACACAACTTACCACTCTGTAAACACAACTTCCCACTCTGTAAACACAACTTTCCACTCTGTAAACACAACTTCCATCTGTAAACACAACTTACCACTCTGTAAACACAACTTCTCACTCTGTAAACACAACTTCCCACTGTAAACACAACTTCCCACTCTGTAAACACAACTTACCTCTCTGTAAACACAACTTCCCACTCCACTCTGTAAACACAACTTCACACTGTAAACAACTTACCACTGTGTAAACACAACTTTCCACACTGTAAACACAGCTTCCCACTGTAAACACAACTTACCACTCTGTAAACACAAATTCACACTGTAAACATAACTTCCCACTCTGTAAACACAACTTCCCACTCTGTAAACACATAACTTCCCACTCTGTAAACATAACTTCCAACACTATAAACACAACTTCCAACTATAAACACAACTTCCAACTATAAACATACAACTTCCAACTATAAACACACAACTTACCACTCTGTAAACACAACTTCCAACACTGTAAACACAACTTCCAACACTATAAACACAACTTCCAACTATAAACACAACTTCCAACTATAAACATACAACTTCCAACTATAAACACACAACTTACCACTCTGTAAACACAACTTCCAACACTATAAACACAACTTCCAACTATAAACACAACTTCCAACTATAAACATACAACTTCCAACTATAAACACACAACTTACCACTCTGTAAACACAACTTCCAACACTGTAAACACAACTTCCAACACTGTAAACACAACTTATCACTGTAAACACAACTTCCCACTGTAAACACACAACTTACCACTGTGTAAACACAACTTCCAACTGTAAACACACAACTTACCATTCTGTAAACACAACTTCCCACTCTGTAAACAAAACTTGTTACTCTGTAAACACAACCTCCCACACTGTAAACATAACTTACCACTGTGTAAACACAACTTCCAACTGTAAACACACAACTTACCATTCTGTAAACACAACCTCCCACACTGTAAACATAACTTACCACTTTGTAAACACAACTTCCCACTCTGTAAATACAACTTGTTACTCTGTAAACACAACCTCCCACACTGTAAACATAACTTACCACTTTGTAAACACAACTATCAACTGTAAACACAACTTACCACTCTGTAAACACAACTTCCCACTCTGTAAACACAACTTTCCACTCTGTAAACACAACTTCCAACTGTAAACACAACTTACCACTCTGTAAACACAACTTCTCACTCTGTAAACACAACTTCCCACTGTAAACACAACTTCCCACTCTGTAAACACAACTTACCTCTCTGTAAACACAACTTCCCACTCCACTCTGTAAACACAACTTCCCACTGTAAACAACTTACCACTGTGTAAACACAACTTTCCACACTGTAAACACAACTTCTCACTGTAAACACAACTTCCCTGTCTGTAACCACAACTTCTCACTGTAAACACAAATTCTCACTGTAAACACAACTTTCCACTCTGTAAACACAACTTCCCACTGTAAACACACAACTTACAACTCTGTAAACACAACTTCTCACTGTAAACACAACTTCCCTGTCTGTAACCACAACTTCTCACTGTAAACACAACTTACCACTCTTTAAACACAACTTACCTCTCTGTAAACACAACTTCCCACTGTAAACACACAACTTTCCACTCTGTAAACACAACTTACCTCTCTGTAAACACAACTTACCTCTCTGTAAACACAACTTACCACTGTAAACACAACTGTTGTGTACCCATTGAAACTTGTAATGTGAACTACAGTACCATCTCAACAGGGAGCCTACAGTGAAGAGAAACCAAAGCTGCTCAACACCCATCTAATCATTGATGACGGAGGGAAAATTGTAGCTATTTATGATAAGACACATCTTTTTGACTTGGACATTGCAGGCAAAGTTCGACTATGTGAGAGTGACTATGTTATACCGGGCTCTAAAATTGTTGCACCTGTTTCTACACCTGTTGGTAGGGTTGGACTGGCAACTGTATCCTTTACGTCTGCTAGTTGGAGCTGATTGGTTAGGGTTTGAGTTAGTGGGGTTAGGGTTAGGGTTTGTGTTAGTGGGGTTAGGGTTAGGGTTTGTGTTAGTGGGGTTAGGGGTAGGGTTTGTGTTAGTGGGGTTAGGGTTAGGGTTTGTGTTAGTGGGGTTAGGGTTAGGGTTTGTGTTAGTGGGGTTAGGGTTAGGGTTTGTGTTAGTGGGGTTAGGGTTAGGGTTTGTGTTAGTGGGGTTAGGGTTAGGGTTTGAGTTAGTGGGGTTAGGGTTAGGGTTTGAGTTAGTGGGGTTAGGGTTTGTGTTAGTGGGGTTAGGGTTAGGGTTTGAGTTAGTGGGGTTAGGGTTAGGGTTTGTGTTAGTGGGGTTAGGGTTAGGGTTTGAGTTAAGGGGGTAAGGGTTAGGGTTTGTGTTAGTGGGGTTAGGGTTTGTGTTAGTAGGGTTAGGGTTAGGGTTTGAGTTAGTGGGGTTAGGGTTAGGGTTTGAGTTAGTGGGGTTAGGGTTTGAGCTAGTGCGGTTAGGGTTAGGGTTTGAGTTAGTGGGCCGCTTTTTACTTTCTTGTATACAGAGTACAGAGGAAGTATTTTAATCGTATCAAAATCAGATACCTAGACATTTTATATAATAACAACAACGTCAATGTTTCATACTTTGCCTGAAAACTCCAGGGATTGTATACATTACCCAGGAATTCTATATTTATATGCATAGAATGACTGCTTTTTATATTTTGTGATTAACATGTATAAATCTCTATGAATTTTTTCAAATGTGTAGTTCCCTCTCTGGTAACACTAACCATAGGTACCGGTTACACTAACCATAGGTACCGGTTACACTGGCTATTCTGGTGACTTTTAGCTCTCATCTCTTTACAAAAGGCTACCTGGTTTTTTAATTAGATATTTATCTCTGGGTAGCGGCATTTAAAACTGTCCGGAGGAGGGGGGGGGGGATGATACTGTTTTTTCTATATTTTCTTATGAATTACTTTTTTCAATTTCGTTCGGAGGTGTAAGGGGAAGAAACGGTAGAGATGCCTGAAGAAAATGTATATACCTACGGAAAGTGAGTAATGAAATGAATTGTAATTCAGCTTTTAAAAAATTCATTAGCGGAAACTTAGGAAAAGAAACATTTTATTGATCAAGAGCATTGGAATGAAACATTAAGATTATGAAAAAAAAAGGGGTTTTGTTTCATGTACTGTCTATGTTTATACTTGTTTAAAAAAACAAAGACTACCAATACCCTATTAGAAAAATTAAAACCAAATTATATACAGTATTAGTAAACACAATACCATATTAAATGCACTCGCTGATTAAGAGACTTAAAATTAAGAGACTTAAAAGATTTAGCTAAAAACCCGGCTGTTCAATGGTAGTTATGTTGTTTTTGTCTTTTTAAAACACTTATTTCGGCAGAGCATTAAAAAACAGGTGAACTCTACTTCACCTGCCCTGTGTCCCGCCAAGTCCCGATAGGCAACTTTATCATTCACATATAAAAAAACAAATTGAAAAAAAATATATTTAAGATTGATTTTGTGTACCGTACCACCCGCATGGTATCAATTACAAAATCATCTCAGCTATTTAGACACTATAGTTATTTTGGAAACTAAAAGGGTTACTTAGGAAACTTAACTTACGTGAATAAGCCCTATTCTTTCAAATTACATTGTATTACAAGTTAGCCAATTCCATAGCTAAACAAACAAAGATTTCAATAAAATAATTAAGACCTGAAATAGTTTAGTATAGAAATTTATTATTGGAATAGATTCTAGATCTAGGTAGGATCTAGATAGGTCTAAGTCTAGTTTTTCTGTAGTTCTAGATCATCTAGATCTAGAATCTCTAGATCTAGAATATCTAGATCCAGATCTAGAATCCTAATAGTTAAAGTAAATTTTTAAAGTTTAGTACATGGGCTTTTATATATTAGGATACATAAAAAAATCTTGGTATTTTATCAAGTTTTATTGCTCTATTTAATTTAACCTGAAAAAGTGATATATTTAATTTAACCAATAGAAATGCTCTATTTAACCAATAGAAGTACTATATTTAACCAATAGAAGTACTATATTTAACCAATTGAAGTGCTCTGTTTAACCAATACAAGTACTCTATTTAACCAATAGAAATACTCTATTTAATTTAACCTGTAAAAGTGCTATGATGTGAGATTCCCAGAGCTGTCCCTGGCTTTAGTGCAACAGGGTGCCCAAATCATCACTTACCCATCAGCTTTCACTCAGACAACTGGAATGGCACACTGGGAGGTAATTATCATTCTATACTTTTTGTACTTGTAAGTATAAAAACTATACTATAAGGAAAGGAGTATAGATGTATGAAAGAAATGAAAGCTTTATTTAAACTTTCAGAGCCTTCTGAGGGCAAGATGTATGAAAGCTTTATTTAAACTTCCAGAGCCTTCTGAGGGCCAGATGTATGAAAGAAATGAAAGCTTTATTTAAACTTCCAGAGCCTTCTGAGGGCAAGATGTATGAAAGAAATGAAAGCTTTATTTAAACTTCCAGAGCCTTCTGAGGGCCAGATGTATGAAAGAAATGAAAGCTTTATTTAAACTTCCAGAGCCTTCTGATGGCAAGATGTATGAAAGAAATGAAAGCTTTATTTAAACTTCCAGAGCCTTCTGAGGGCCAGATGTATGAAAGAAATGAAAGCTTTATTTAAACTTCCAGAGCCTTCTGAGGGCCAGATGTATGAAAGCTTTATTTAAACTTCCAGAGCCTTCTGATGGCCAGATGTATGAAAGAAATGAAAGCTTTATTTAAACTTCCAGAGCCTTCTGAGGGCCAGATGTATGAAAGCTTTATTTAAACTTCCAGAGCCTTCTGATGGCAAGATGTATGAAAGAAATGAAAGCTTTATTTAAACTTCCAGAGCCTTCTGAGGGCCAGATGTATGAAAGAAATGAAAGCTTATTTAAATTTCCAGAGCCTTCTGAGGGCAAGATGTATGAAAGAAATGAAAGCTTATTTAAATTTCCAGAGCCTTCTGAGGGCAAGATGTATGAAAGAAATGAAAGCTTTATTTAAACTTCCAGAGCCTTCTGAGGGCAAGATGTATGAAAGCTTTATTTAAACTTCCAGAGCCTTCTGAGGGCAAGATGTATGAAAGAAATGAAAGCTTTATTTAAACTTCCAGAGCCTTCTGAGGGCAAGATGTATGAAAGCTTTATTTAAACTTCCAGAGCCTTCTGAGGGCAAGATGTATGAAAGAAATGAAAGCTTTATTTAAACTTCCAGAGCCTTCTGAGGGCAAGATGTATGAAAGAAATGAAAGCTTTATTTAAACTTCCAGAGCCTTCTGAGGGCAAGATGTATGAAAGCTTTATTTAAACTTCCAGAGCCTTCTGATGGCAAGATGTATGAAAGAAATGAAAGCTTTATTTAAACTTCCAGAGCCTTCTGAGGGCCAGATGTATGAAAGAAATGAAAGCTTTATTTAAACTTCCAGAGCCTTCTGAGGGCAAGATGTATGAAAGAAATGAAAGCTTTATTTAAATTTCCAGAGCCTTCTGAGGGCAAGATGTATGAAAGCTTTATTTAAACTTCCAGAGCCTTCTGAGGGCAAGATGTATGAAAGAAATGAAAGCTTTATTTAAACTTCCAGAGCCTTCTGAGGGCAAGATGTATGAAAGCTTTATTTAAACTTCCAGAGCCTTCTGAGGGCAAGATGTATGAAAGAAATGAAAGCTTTATTTAAACTTCCAGAGCCTTCTGAGGGCAAGATGTATGAAAGAAATGAAAGCTTTATTTAAACTTCCAGAGCCTTCTGAGGGCAAGATGTATGAAAGCTTTATTTAAACTTCCAGAGCCTTCTGAGGGCAAGATGTATGAAAGAAATGAAAGCTTTATTTAAACTTCCAGAGCCTTCTGAGGGCAAGATGTATGAAAGCTTTATTTAAACTTCCAGAGCCTTCTGAGGGCAAGATGTATGAAAGAAATGAAAGCTTTATTTAAACTTCCAGAGCCTTCTGAGGGCAAGATGTATGAAAGAAATGAAAGCTTTATTTAAACTTCCAGAGCCTTCTGAGGGCAAGATGTATGAAAGCTTTATTTAAACTTCCAGAGCCTTCTGAGGGCAAGATGTATGAAAGAAATGAAAGCTTTATTTAAACTTCCAGAGCCTTCTGAGGGCAAGATGTATGAAAGCTTTATTTAAACTTCCAGAGCCTTCTGAGGGCAAGATGTATGAAAGAAATGAAAGCTTTATTTAAACTTCCAGAGCCTTCTGAGGGCAAGATGTATGAAAGAAATGAAAGCTTTATTTAAACTTCCAGAGCCTTCTGAGGGCAAGATGTATGAAAGCTTTATTTAAACTTCCAGAGCCTTCTGAGGGCAAGATGTATGAAAGAAATGAAAGCTTTATTTAAACTTCCAGAGCCTTCTGAGGGCAAGATGTATGAAAGAAATGAAAGCTTATTTAAATTTCCAGAGCCTTCTGAGGGCAAGATGTATGAAAGAAATGAAAGCTTATTTAAATTTCCAGAGCCTTCTGAGGGCAAGATGTATGAAAGCTTTATTTAAACTTCCAGAGCCTTCTGAGGGCCAGATGTATGAAAGAAATGAAAGCTTTATTTAAACTTCCAGAGCCTTCTGAGGGCAAGATGTATGAAAGAAATGAAAGCTTTATTTAAACTTCCAGAGCCTTCTGAGGGCAAGATGTATGAAAGCTTTATTTAAACTTCCAGAGCCTTCTGAGGGCGAGAGCCATTGAAAGCCAGTGTTACGTGGTTGCAGCTGCACAGACAGGCAAGCACAATTCAAAACGCTCGTCCTATGGACATGCTATGGTAAACATCACATTCAATGGTCTAAATTTTAACATTCACACAGGCAAGCACAATTCTAAACGCTCGTCCTATGGACATGCTATGGTAAACATCACATCACATTCAATGGTCTAAATTTTAACATTCACACAGGCAAGCACAATTCTAAACGCTCGTCCTATGGACATGCTATGGTAAACATCACATCACATTCAATGGTCTAAATTTTAAAATCAGTCTTGTAAATATTCGTATACAGATTTAATTATATTTACATTAAGCATTCTATATAATCATTAAATGGTGTAAGTATTTGCGTAAACCTTAAATGTTGTCTATATTCACACAAACTGAATATATTTACATAAAATGTATATATTCACTTTAAATATTGAATATATTCATATTAAATTGTCTACATATTCACATCAAATTGTGTATATATTCACATTAAATGGCATATAAGTTAACATAAAATGGTATATATTTTCACATTATATTCAATATTGTATAAATGTAAATATTTACATAATTTTTTTTTATATATTCACATTAAATGTATGTTAACATTCAATGTTGAATCCTTATATACACATTAAAAATATTTATTTGTGTTTTAATTCCAGCCAATACTAATGGTAGTCTAGGAAAATACATGAAGCTGGGCATAGAAAATACAGGCAGTTGGGGGCATAGAAAATACAGGCAGTTGGGGGCATAGAAAATACAGGCAGTTGGGGGCATAGAAAATACAGGCAGTTGGGGGCATAGAAAATACAGGCAGTTGGGGGCATAGAAAATACAGGCAGTTGGGGGCATAGAAAATACAGGCAGTTGGGGGCATAGAAAATACAGGCAGTTGGGGGCATAGAAAATACAGGCAGTTGGGGGCATAGAAAATACAGGCAGTTGGGGGCATAGAAAATACAGGCAGTTGGGGGCATAGAAAATATAGGCAGTTGGGGGCATAGAAAATACAGGCAGTTGGGGGCATAGAAAATACAGGCAGTTGGGGGCATAGAAAATACAGGCAGTTGGGGGCATAGAAAATACAGGCAGTTGGGGGCATAGAAAATACAGGCAGTTGGGGGCATAGAAAATATAGGCAGTTGGGCATAGATCAAGCTCCAATCCAATAATTTTTTAAATAAAAGTGAACATAAGAAAGTTAGGTATATGTTTCAAATTAAAAGCTCTCTATACAAAAGTAAATTGGGGAAATAACTATTGAAGTGGTTCTGAGTCATGTCAATGTTTTAAAATTAACTAAGGCAACTTCTCGATTAGTTACCATAGCAACCAACATTTTTTAAACTGTTAATTTTGCTACATCATTTAAAAATATCTGTTCTAATATTTTTTTCTGTCCATTTACTAACCCAAAGCCTGATGTGTTGAAATGTCTGTGAAGGTTGTTGACCCATGGGGTGCCTAATGTGTTGAAATGTCTGTGAAGGTTGTTGACCCATGGGGTGCCTAATGTGTTGAAATGTCTGTGAAGGTTGTTGACCCATGGGGTGCCTAATGTGTTGAAATGTCTGTGAAGGTTGTTGACCCATGGGGTGCCTAATGTGTTGAAATGTCTGTGAAGGTTGTTGACCCATGGGGTGCCTAATGTGTTGAAATGTCTGTGAAGGTTGTTGACCCATGGAGTGCCATGCCTAATGTGTTGAAATGTCTGTGAAGGTTGTTGACCCATGGGGTGCCGAATGTGTTGAAATGTCTGTGAAGGTTGTTGACCCATGGGGTGCCGAATGTGTTGAAATGTCTGTGAAGGTTGTTGACCCATGGAGTGCCATGCCTAATGTGTTGAAATGTCTGTGAAGGTTGTTGACCCATGGGGTGCCTAATGTGTTGAAATGTCTGTGAAGGTTGTTGACCCATGGGGTGCCTAATGTGTTGAAATGTCTGTGAAGGTTGTTGACCCATGGGGTGCCTAATGTGTTGAAATGTCTGTGAAGGTTGTTGACCCATGGGGTGCCTAATGTGTTGAAATGTCTGTGAAGGTTGTTGACCCATGGGGTGCCTAATGTGTTGAAATGTCTGTGAAGGTTGTTGACCCATGGGGTGCCTAATGTGTTGAAATGTCTGTGAAGGTTGTTGACCCATGGGGTGCCATGCCTAATGTGTTGAAATGTCTGTGAAGGTCGTTGACCCATGGGGTGCCTAATGTGTTGAAATGTCTGTGAAGGTTGTTGACCCATGGGGTGCCTAATGTGTTGAAATGTCTGTGAAGGTTGTTGACCCATGGGGTGCCTAATGTGTTGAAATGTCTGTGAAGGTCGTTGACCCATGGGGTGCCATTGTTGCCCAGTGCAGTGAAGGACCAGGTGTTTGTCTGGCTGAAATAGACCTGGATTATGTGGACAGAGTACGGAGTGATATGCCCGTATGGCAGCACCGTAGAACTGATTTATATGGAAGAGTTGTTGCCCTTGATACAGATGGATCAACCAGTAAGTCAGGCTTGGCCTAGTAGCTAGGGTCAAAGGTTAGGGTCAAAGGTCTGGTAGTTACTCTATAGTAGAGACAGGGTTCAAATGTTAGGGTCAAAGGTCTGGTAGCTACTCTATAGTAGAGACAGGGTTCAAAGGTTAGGGTCAAAGGTCTGGTAGCTACTCTATAGTAGAGACAGGGTTCAAAGGTTAGGGTCAAAGGTCTGGTAGCTACTCTATAGTAAAGACAGGGTTCAAAGGTTAGGGTCAAAGGTCTGGTAGCTACTCTATAGTAGAGACAGGGTTCAAAGGTTAGGGTCAAAGGTCTGGTAGCTACTCTATAGTAGAGACAGGGTTCAAAGGTTAGGGTCAAAGGTCTGGTAGCTACTCTATAGACTTATAGATGGTCAAAGATTTGCTAACTTACAGATAATCTTGCTTTAAATGTGGTTTATATGAAGGTTATGTTCAAAGATTTGTTTGAAGTCCTAAATGTTATGTGATTTGTTCTAACCATCCCAGTTTCCCCTGATGATGACCCAACGTACCAGTTTGGCCATGTTCGTATCACGTCCACTCAAGTCTTTTATCGCACGCGACTCAGCATAGCATTTGTCAACATCAAGCCTGTGCTGCCAGGCCGTATCCTTATACCACCAATTTAAACCCTTACATAAACCACCAATTTAAACCCTTACATAAACCACAAATTTAAACCCTTACATAAACCACAAATTTAAACCCTTACATAAACCACCAATTTAAACCCTTACATAAAGCACCAATTTAAACCCTTACATAAAGCACCAATTTAAACCCTTACATAAAGCACCAAATTTAAACCTTTACATAAACCACCAATTTAAACCCTTACATATACCACCAATTTAAACCCTTACATAAAGCACCAATTTAAACCCTTACATAAACCACCAAATTTAAACCCTTACATAAACCACCAACTTAAACCCTTACATAAACCACCAATTTAAACCCTTACATAAACCACCAATTTAAACCCTTACATAAACCACCAATTTAAACCCTTACATAAAGCACCAATTTAAACCCTTACATATACCACCAATTTAAACCCTTACATAAACCACCAAATTAAACCCTTACACATACCACCAAATTAAACCCTTACATAAACCACCAATTTAAACCTTTACATATACCACTAATTTAAACCATTACATATAACACCAATTTAAACCCTTACATAAACCACCAATTTAAACCCTTACATAAACCACCAAATTTAAACCCTTACATAAAGCACCAATTTAAACCCTTACATAAACCACCAAATTTAAACCCTTACATAAACCACCAATTTAAACCCTTACATAAACCACCAATTTAAACCCTTACATAAACCACCAATTTAAACCCTTACATAAAGCACCAATTTAAACCCTTACATATACCACCAATTTAAACCCTTACATAAACCACCAAATTAAACCCTTACGTATACCACCAAATTAAACCCTTACGTAAATCACCAATTTAAACCTTTACATATACCACCAATTTAAACCATTACATATAACACCAATTTAAACCCTTACATAAACCATCAATTTAAACCCTTACATAAACCACCAATTTAAACCCTTACATAAACCACCAATTTAAACCCTTACATAAACCACCAATTTAAATTCTTACATAAACCACCAAATTTAAACCCTTACATAAAGCACCAATTTAAACCCTTACATAAACCACCAATTTAAACCCTTACATAAATCACCAATTTAAACCCTTACATAAACCACCAATTTAAAACCTTACATAAACCACCAATTTAAACCCTTACATAAACCACCAATTTAAACCCTTACATAAACCACCAATTTAAACCCTTACATAAACCACCAATTTAAACCCTAACATAAACCACCAATTTAAACCCTTACATAAACCACCAATTTAAACCCTTACATAAACCACCAATTTAAACCCTTACATAAACCACCAATTTAAACCCTTACATAAAGCACCAATTTAAACCCTTACATAAAGCACCAATTTAAACCCTTACATAAAGCACCAAATTTAAACCTTTACATAAACCACCAATTTAAACCCTTACATAAACCACCAATTTAAACCCTGATATAAAGCACCAAATTTAAACCTTTACATAAACCACCAATTTAAACCCTTGCATATACCACCAATTTAAACCTTTACATATACCACCAAATTAAACCCTTACATATACCACCAAATTAAACCCTTACATATACCACCAAATTAAACCCTTACAGAAACCACCAATTTAAACCTTTACATATACCACTAATTTAAGCCCTTACATATAACACCAATTTAAACCCTTACATATACCACCAATTTAAACCCTTACATAAAGCACCAAATTTAAACCTTTACATAAACCACCAAATTTAAACCTTTACATAAACCACCAAATTTAAACCCTTACATAAACCAACAATTTAAACCCTTACATTAAGCACCAATTTAAACCCTTACATAAAGCACCAAATTTAAACCTTTACATAAACCACCAATTTAAAACCCTTGCATATACCACCAATTTAAACCTTTACATATACCACCAAATTAAACCCTTACATATACCACCAAATTAAACCCTTACATAAACCACCAATTTAAACCTTTATATATACCACTAATTTAAACCATTACATATAACACCAATTTAAACCCTTACATATACCACCAATTTAAATCCTTACATAAACCACCAATTTAAACCCTTACATAAAGCACCAATTTAAACCCTTACATAAAGCACCAAATTTAAACCTTTACATAAACCACCAAATTTAAACCCTTACATAAACCACCAATTTAAACCCTTACATTAAGCACCAATTTAAACCCTTACATAAAGCACCAAATTTAAACCTTTACATAAAGCACCAAATTTAAACCTTTACATAAACCACCAAATTTAAACCCTTACATAAACCACCAATTTAAACCCTTACATTAAGCACCAATTTAAACCCTTACATAAAGCACTTAATTTAAACCTTTACATAAACCACCAATTTAAACCCTTGCATATACCACCAATTTAAACCTTTACATATATTCCACCAAATTAAACCCTTACATATACCACCAAATTAAACCCTTACATAAACCACCAATTTAAACCTTTACATATACCACCAATTTAAACCATTACATATAACACCAATTTTAACCCTTACATATACCACCAATTTAAATCCTTACATAAACCACCAATTTAAACTCTTACATAAACCTCCAATTTAAACCTTTACATATACCACCAATTTAAACCCTTACATATAACACCAATTTAAACACTTACATATAACACCAATTTAAACCCTTACATATAACACCAATTTAAACCCTTACATATAACACCAATTTAAACCCTTACATATAACACCAATTTAAACCCTTACATATAACACCAATTTAAACCGTTACATAAACCACCAATTTAAACCCTTACATATACCACCAATTTAAATCCTTACATAAACCACCAATTTAAACCCTTACATAAACCTCCAATTTAAACCTTTACATATACCACCAATTTAAACCCTTACATAAATCACCAATTTAAACCCTTACATAAACCACCAATGTCCACTTCACCTCTCAATGTCCATCACTAGATATCCATTTTATTCTAGAAATCCACTTTACCATTAGATGTCCACTTTACCATTAGATGTCCACTTTACCACTAGATGTCCACTTTACCATTAGATGTCCACTTTACCACTAGATGTCCACTTTACCACTAGATATCCACTTTACCTCTATATGTCCACTTTACCACTAGATGTCCACTTTACCACTAGATGTCCACTTTACCACTAGATGTCCACTTTACCACTAGATGTCCACCACTAGATATCCACCACTAGATGTCCACTTTACCACTAGATGTACACTTTACCACTAGATGTCCACCACTAGATGTCCACCACTAGATGTCCACTTTACCACTAGATGTCCACTTTACCACTAGATGTCCACCACACCATTAGATGTCCACTTTACCACTAGATGTCCACCACTAGATGTCCACCACTAGATGTCCACTTTACCACTAGATGTCCACCACTAGATGTCCACTTTACCACTAGATGTCCACTTTACCACTAGATGTCCACCACTAGATGTCCACCACTAGATGTCCACTTTACCACTAGATGTCCACTTTACCACTAGATGTCCACTTTACCACTAGATGTCCACCACTAGATGTCCACTTTACCACTAGATGTCCACTTTACCACTAGATGTCCACTTTACCACTAGATGTCCACTTTACCACTAGATGTCCACCACTAGATGTCCACTTTACCACTAGATGTCCACTTTACCACTAGATGTCCACCACTAGATGTCCACCACTAGATGTCCACTTTACCACTAGATGTCCACTTTACCACTAGATGTCCACTTTACCACTAGATGTCCACCACTAGATGTCCACTTTACCACTAGATGTCCACCACTAGATGTCCACTTTACCACTAGATGTCCACCACTAGATGTCCACCACTAGATGTCCACCACTAGATGTCCACTTTACCACTAGATGTCCACTTTACCACTAGATGTCCACCACTAGATGTCCACTTTACCACTAGATGTCCACCACTAGATGTCCACCACTAGATGTCCACCACTAGATGTCCACTTTACCACTAGATGTCCACTTTACCACTAGATGTCCACTTTACCACTAGATGTCCACCACTAGATGTCCACTTTACCACTAGATGTCCACTTTACCACTAGATGTCCACTTTACCACTAGATGTCCACTTTACCACTAGATGTCCACCACTAGATGTCCACTTTACCACTAGATGTCCACTTTACCACTAGATGTCCACCACTAGATGTCCACCACTAGATGTCCACTTTACCACTAGATGTCCACTTTACCACTAGATGTCCACTTTACCACTAGATGTCCACCACTAGATGTCCACTTTACCACTAGATGTCCACCACTAGATGTCCACCACTAGATGTCCACCACTAGATGTCCACCACTAGATGTCCACTTTACCACTAGATGTCCACTTTACCACTAGATGTCCACCACTAGATGTCCACTTTACCACTAGATGTCCACTTTACCACTAGATGTCCACTACCACTAGATGTCCACCACTAGATGTCCACTTTACCACTAGATGTCCACTTTACCACTAGATGTCCACCACTAGATGTCCACCACTAGATGTCCACTTTACCACTAGATGTCCACTTTACCACTAGATGTCCACCACTAGATGTCCACTTTACCACTAGATGTCCACTTTACCACTAGATGTCCACTTTACCACTAGATGTCCACTTTACCACTAGATGTCCACCACTAGATGTCCACTTTACCACTAGATGTCCACTTTACCACTAGATGTCCACCACTAGATGTCCACCACTAGATGTCCACTTTACCACTAGATGTCCACTTTACCACTAGATGTCCACTTTACCACTAGATGTCCACCACTAGATGTCCACTTTACCACTAGATGTCCACCACTAGATGTCCACTTTACCACTAGATGTCCACCACTAGATGTCCACCACTAGATGTCCACCACTAGATGTCCACTTTACCACTAGATGTCCACTTTACCACTAGATGTCCACCACTAGATGTCCACTTTACCACTAGATGTCCACTTTACCACTAGATGTCCACTACCACTAGATGTCCACCACTAGATGTCCACTTTACCACTAGATGTCCACTTTACCACTAGATGTCCACCACTAGATGTCCACCACTAGATGTCCACTTTACCACTAGATGTCCACTTTACCACTAGATGTCCACTTTACCGCTAGATGTCCACCACTAGATGTCCAACACTAGATGTCCACCACTAGATGTCCACTTTACCACTAGATGTCCACTTTACCACTAGATGTCCACTTTACCACTAGATGTCCACTTTACCACTAGATGTCCACTTTACCACTAGATGTCCACCACACCACTAGATGTCCACTTTAACACTAGATGTCCACCACTAGATGTCCACCACTAGATGTCCACTTTACCACTAGATGTCCACCACACCACTAGATGTCCACTTTACCACTAGATGTCCACCATTAGATGTCCACCACTAGATGTCCACTTTACCACTAGATGTCCACCACACCACTAGATGTCCACTTTACCACTAGATGTCCACCACTAGATGTCCACTTTACCACTAGATGTCCACTTTACCACTAGATGTCCACCACTAGATGTCCACCACTAGATGTCCACTTTACCACTAGATGTCCACCACACCACTAGATGTCCACTTTACCACTAGATGTCCACCACTAGGTTTCCACTTTACCACTAGATGTCCACCACTAGATGTCCACCACTAGATGTCCACTTTACCACTAGATGTCCACCACTAGATGTCCACTTTACCACTAGATGTCCACTTTACCACTAGATGTCCACCACACCACTAGATGTCCACTTTACCACTAGATGTCCACTTTACCATTAGATGTCCACCACTAGATGTCCACTTTACCACTAGATGTCCACCACTAGATGTCCACCACTAGATGTCCACTTTACCACTAGATGTCCACTTTACCACAAGATGTCCACCACTAGATGTCCACCACTAGATGTCCACTTTACCACTAGATGTCCACCACTAGATGTCCACCACTAGATGTCCATTTTACCACTAGATGTCCACTTTACCACTAGATGTCCACTTTACCACTAGATGTCCATTTTACCACTAGATGTCCACTTTACCACTAGATGTCCACTTTACCACTAGATGTCCACTTTACCACTAGATGTCCACTTTACCACTAGATGTCCACTTTACCACTAGATGTCCACCACTAGATGTCCACTTTACCACTAGATGTCCACTTTACCACTAGATGTCCACCACTAGATGTCCACTTTACCATTAGATGTCCACTTTACCATTAGATGTCCACTTTACCACTAGATGTCCACCACTAGATGTCCACCACTAGATGTCCACTTTACCACTAGATGTCCACCACACCACTAGATGTCCACTTTACCACTAGACGTCCACTTTACCACTAGATGTCCACCACTAGATGTCCACTTTACCACTAGATGTCCACCACTAGATGTCCACTTTACCACTAGATTCCACTTTACCACTAGATGTCCACTTTACCACTAGATGTCCACCACTAGATGTCCACTTTACCACTAGATGTCCACTTTACCACTAGATGTCCACCACTAGATGTCCACTTTACCACTAGATGTCCACCACTAGATGTCCACCACTAGATGTCCACTTTACCACTAGATGTCCACCACTAGATGTCCACTTTACCACTAGATGTCCACTTTACCACTAGATGTCCACTTTACCACTAGATGTCCACTTTACCACTAGATGTCCACTTTACCACTAGATGTCCACTTTACCACTAGATGTCCACCACTAGATGTCCACTTTACCACTAGATGTCCACCACTAGATGTCCACTTTACCACTAGATTCCACCACACCACTAGATGTCCACTTTACCACTAGATGTCCACCACTAGATGTCCACTTTACCACTAGATGTCCACTTTACCATTAGATGTCCACCGCACCACTAGATGTCCACTTTACCAGTAGATGTCCACCACTAGATGTCCACCACTAGATGTCCACCACTAGATGTCCACCACTAGATGTCCACTTTACCACTAGATGTCCACCACACCACTAGATGTCCACTTTACCACTAGATGTCCACTTTACCACTAGATGTCCACCACTAGATGTCCACCACTAGATGTCCACCACTAGATGTCTACCACTAGATGTCCACCACTAGATGTCCACCACTAGATGTCCACTTTACCACTAGATGTCCACCACTAGATGTCCACCACTAGATGTCCACCTCTAGATGTCCACCACTAGATGTCCACCACACCACTAGATGTCCACTTTACCACTAGATGTCCACCAATAGATGTCCACCACTAGATGTCCACTTTACCACTAGATGTCCACCACTAGATGTCCACTTTACCACTAGATGTCCACTTTACCACTAGATGTCCACTTTACCACTAGATGTCCACCACTAGATGTCCACCACTAGATGTCCACCACTAGATGTCCACTTTACCACTAGATGTCCACTTTACCACTAGATGTCCACCACTAGATGTCCACTTTACCACTAGATGTCCACTTTACCACTAGATGTCCACCACTAGATGTCCACCACTAGATGTCCACTTTACCACTAGATGTCCACCACTAGATGTCCACTTTACCACTAGATGTCCACTTTACCACTAGATGTCCACCACTAGATGTCCACTTTACCACTAGATGTCCACTTTACCACTAGATGTCCACCACTAGATGTCCACCACTAGATGTCCACTTTACCACTAGATGTCCACTTTACCACTAGATGTCCACCACTAGATGTCCACCACTAGATGTCCACCACTAGATGTCCACCACTAGATGTCCACCACTAGATGTCCACTTTACCACTAGATGTCCACCACTAGATGTCCACTTTACCACTAGATGTCCACTTTACCACTAGATGTCCACCACTAGATGTCCACTTTACCACTAGATGTCCACTTTACCACTAGATGTCCACCACTAGATGTCCACCACTAGATGTCCACTTTACCACTAGATGTCCACTTTACCACTAGATGTCCACCACTAGATGTCCACCACTAGATGTCCACTTTACCACTAGATGTCCACTTTACCACTAGATGTCCACTTTACCACTAGATGTCCACTTTACCACTAGATGTCCACTTTACCACTAGATGTCCACTTTACCACTAGATGTCCACTTTACCACTAGATGTCCACTTTACCACTAGATGTCCACTTTACCACTAGATGTCCACTTTACCACTAGATGTCCACTTTACCACTAGATGTCCACTTTACCACTAGATGTCCACTTTACCACTAGATGTCCACTTTAACACTAGATGTCCACCACTAGATGTCCACTTTACCACTAGATGTCCACTTTACTACTAGATGTCCACTTTACCACTAGATGTCCACTTTACCACTAGATGTCCACTTTACCACTAGATGTCCACTTTAACACTAGATGTCCACCACTAGATGTCCACTTAACATCTAATATATCAGCTACTGTCCACTGTTAGTTTTCTCTTGACCATTCCTTAACCTTTAACCCAAGATGCCCTTGTGGCACCAATTCGTGCTGCTGCTAGATTATCTGACCTTAATCCTGCAGAGGTCACTGACCTTTTCTTGACTGTCCAAAAAATAGTTGATGTATTAAAGAAGCATTTCAATGCTCCATCCTCAACTATAGCCATCCAAGATGGTATGGAAGCAGGTCAGACTGTTCAGGTGAGGTATCACTTAAAGTATAGCAGGGCATGTGATTGTATCACTTAAAGTAGAGCAGGGCATGTGATTGTATCACCTAAAGTAGAGCATGTGATTGTATCACCTAAAGTAGAGCAGGGCATGTGATTGAATCACCTAAAGTAGGGCAGGGCATGTGATTGTATCACCTAAAGTAGGGCATGTGATTGTATCACCTAAAGTAGAGCAGGGCATGTGATTGTATCACCTAAAGTAGAGCAGAGCATGTGATTGTATCACCTAAAGTAGAGCAGGACATGTGATTGTATCACCTAAAGTAGAGCAGGGCATGTGATTGTATCACCTAAAGTAGGGCAGGGCATGTGATTGTATCACCTAAAGTAGAGCAAGGCATATGATTGTATCACCTAAAGTATAGTAGGGCATGTGATTCTATCACCTAAAGTAGAGCAGGGCATATGATTGTATCACCTAAAGTAGAGCAGGGCATGTGATTGTATCACCTAAAGTAGAGCAGGGCATGTGATTGTATCACCTAAAGTAGGGCAGGTGATTGTATCACCTAAAGTAGGGCATGTGATTGTATCACCTAAAGTAGAGCAGGGCATGTGATTGTATCACCTAAAGTAGAGCATGGCATGTGATTGTATCACCTAAAGTAGAGCAGGGCATGTGATTGTATCACCTAAAGTAGAGCAGGGCATGTGATTGTATTACCTAAAGTAGGGCATGTGATTGTATCACCTAAAGTAGGACAGGGCATGTGATTGTATCACCTAAAGCAGGGCATGTGATTGTATCACCTAAAGTAGAGCAGGGCATGTGATTGTATCACCTAAAGTAGAGCAGGGCTTGTTATTGTATCACCTAAAGTAGAGCAGGGCATGTGATTGTATCACCTAAAGTAGAGCGGGGCATGTGATTGTATCACCTAAAGTAGAGCAGGGCATGTGATTGTATCACCTAAAGTAGAGCGGGGCATGTGATTGTATCACCTAAAGTAGAGCAGGGCATGTGATTGTATCACCTAAAGTAGAGCAGGGCATGTGATTGTATCACCTAAAGTAGAGCAGGGCATGTGATTGTATCACCTAAAGTAGGGCAGGTGATTGTATCACCTAAAGTAGAGCAGGGCATGTGATTGTATCACCTAAAGTAGAGCAGGGCATGTGATTGTATCACCTAAAGTAGAGCAGGGCATGTGATTGTATCACCTAAAGTAGAGCGGGGCATGTGATTGTATCACCTAAAGTAGAGCAGGGCATGTGATTGTATCACCTAAAGTAGAGCGGGGCATGTGATTGTATCACCTAAAGTAGAGCAGGGCATGTGATTGTATCACCTAAAGTAGAGCGGGGCATGTGATTGTATCACCTAAAGTAGAGCAGGGCATGTGATTGTATCACCTAAAGTAGAGCAGGGCATGTGATTGTATCACCTAAAGTAGAGCATGGCATGTTATTGTATCACCTAAAGTAGAGCAGGGCATGTGATTGTATCACCTAAAGTAGGGCAGGTGATTGTATCACCTAAAGTAGAGCAGGGCATGTGATTGTATCACCTAAAGTAGAGCAGGGCATGTGATTGTATCACCTAAAGTAGAGCAGGGCATGTGATTGTATCACCTAAAGTAGAGCAGGGCATGTGATTGTATCACCTAAAGTAGAGCAGGGCATGTGATTGTATCACCTAAAGTATCGCAGGTCATGTGACAATTTCGTGGAAAACATATCCAGACAGGAGAGTATCTCTCATACAGTTAAGTAGTATAATGCGCCCCGCCGCATTAAGAATGTTATTAGGCCCTTCTACATATGTATTTGGGATTGCTAACCCAATAGTCTAAAGTTTGAATCCGGGTTCAAATCAGGCAAAAGTGCCTGAGTCCACCCAGCTCTGATGGGTACCTAACTCACGTTAGGGAAACAAAGGCACATTATTCCCTTTTATGCCAAGGACATTGAGTCAGATGAACTCAACTTTATCTGCCCCATCAAGGACATCGAGTCAGATGAACTCAAATTTATCTGCCCCATGTGTTTTGAGCACAAATGGCAAAAGGTGATAAATATATTTACATTATACCCTCCCCCAAATACAAAAGTGTACATATACCCTCCCCCAAATACAAAAGTATACATATACCTTCTCACAAATTCAAATGTATTCGTTTACCCTCCCCCAAATACATATGTATACATATACCCTTCCCCAAATACATAATAAGTATAAAGTAAACATATACCCTCACCCAAATACATATGTATTTTTAATGGAATTTTAGCTTTACATAAATTTTCTTACTAGATTTTTACTTTCTCGTATACAGAGTATAGAGAAAGTATTGTAATCGTGCACAAAAATCACTTGAAATTTTGACTCATCCTGAGTATAGAAGATTTATTTTAATAGGGCAAAAATTATAAATCCAGTTATAGAAATTTTGTTGTTTTATGCGTAATTGAGTCTGAAAAACTGAGCTTTGTAATTCTGTCTGTGTATGTGTGTCTGTGAACAGGATAACTTAAGTACCGTTACATCTAGTTTGATTAAATTTCATACATCTAGTTTGATTAAATTTCATATATAATTATTATATCAAATTTCTAGTTCTGTGTCAACTTTTCGGCTATTTCTGATAACTCCGGAGTGGAACTTATTCTACTTTTAGTTTTTCAATTCTTTTTCTTTTTTTTTTCTTTTTAAAAGTTTAAGTAATTTAAAATGGATTAAAAATTTCATAAAAAACTTTTTTATTACACAAGCTTTTATGTAATAATGCACAAAAAGTAAACAATAAATTATACATTACTATTTAAATAACTATAAAGAAGACTTTGGGTCTCTTCCTAAATATTAGTAAAGGTATCCAATAGATACTAAAGATTCAAATAAAAGCTTGTAAAAATCATGTCTATATCCCTAGTTGCCACCCCACGTAGTGTAATATTTTATAATGAATAATCGAGAAAGTTTAGGGGAGATCACTCCCGGTTTATTTAAACCATACTTAAAAAAAACTTTCTGGACTTTTTAATTTTATGGATGTATTTCCTCAAGGTTTAATTAGAAAACATTTTGCCTTGATTGTATTTCCTCAAGGTTTAATTAAAAAACACTTTGCCTTGATTGTATTTCCTCAAGGTCAATTTAAAAACATTTTGCCTTGATTGTATTTCCTCAAGGTCAATTTAAAAACATTTTGCCTTGATTGTATTTCCTCAAGGTTTAATTTAAAAACATTTTGCCTTGATTGTATTTCCTCAAGGTCAATTTAAAAACATTTTGCCTTGATTGTATTTCCTCAAGGTCAATTTAAAAACATTTTGCCTTGATTGTATTTCCTCAAGGTCAATTTAAAAACATTTTGCCTTGATTGTATTTCCTCAAGGTCAATTTAAAAACATTTTGCCTTGATTGTATTTCCTCAAGGTTTAATTTAAAAACATTTTGCCTTGATTGTATTTCCTCAAGGTTTAATTTAAAAACATTTTGCCTTGATTGTATTTCCTCAAGGTTTAATTTAAAAACATTTTGCCTTGGTTGTATTTCCTCAAGGTTTAATTTAAAAACATTTTGCCTTGATTGTATTTCCTCAAGGTTTAATTTAAAAACATTTTGCCTTGATTGTATTTCCTCAAGGTTTAATTTAAAAACATTTTGCCTTGATTGTATTTCCTCAAGGTCAATTTAAAAACATTTTGCCTTGGTTGTATTTCCTCAAGGTTTAATTTAAAAACATTTTGCCTTGATTGTATTTCCTCAAGGTTTAATTTAAAAACATTTTGCCTTGATTGTATTTCCTCAAGGTTTAATTTAAAAACATTTTGCCTTGATTGTATTTCCTCAAGGTCAATTTAAAAACATTTTGCCTTGATTTATTTTCCAGCATGTTCATGCTCACATACTGCCCCGAAAACATGGAGACTTTAGTGAGAATGATGACATCTATGACCATGTAAGTAAGAATGATGACATCTATGACCATGTAAGTAAGAATGATGACATCTATGACCATGTAAGTGAGAATGATGACATCTATGACCATGTAAGTAAGAATGATGACATCTATGACCATGTAAGTAAGAATGATGACATCTATGACCATGTAAGTAAGAATGATGACATCTATGACCATGTAAGTGAGAATGATGACATCTATGACCATGTAAGTAAGAATGATGACATCTATGATCATGTAAGTGAGAATGATGACATCTATGACCATGTAAGTGAGAATGATGACATCTATGCTGACTCACATAAGGGAAACTAAGGCTGCTGACCACACTATCCCCTTGCAATGCCGAGCTCTATGATTCAGGTGAACTCTAATTCATCTGCCCCATGCTTCCTGGGTGCAAACAGGACAAGATGTCAAAATGTGATCAATTGATTTTAGCATTCTTTTTTTTTTTGTATTCTTTTGAAAAATTATTTTTTTTAGCCTTCTTTTGATACAAAAATAATTTGAACCAAATGTCTCTCTTCAGCTACAGAATCACGATAAAGGTTGGAATGAGCAGACCAAATTAAGATCAGAAGAAGAAATGGCAGAGGAGGCCAAACAACTGAGGGTATATTTCTATCCAGCATCAAAGGTTGCCTAAAACTTGTTTTCAAATGAGCCTGGTTTATTTTATTCAGATTAGATACACTCAGTGTGTCTTTGTCTTTAATTCATATGCTTTACTCAGGGATTATTTACTGTATTTCTGACTTAGAAATTATTCATAATTTTTTGTTTTTGTAACTGATCCATTGCATCAAAGTTGTATTGACTGCAACAGTTTCTTGTTTGTCACATATTGGGCTCTATTAAAAAACTTGCCAATACACACCCCGCTGCTTTATTAAACAGAATGCAGCAAGTGTCTTCCAAAAAATGTTCACTAAATCTTGACAAAAATCTAGGAACTTAAGCCAATTAATGAGAGGTGATATTGGCCTTTGTGCACAACAGCTGACTACGGTCTTTAACTTACACAAAAATATATCAACTGTAATGCTACTCCAGAATACAGAATTAAAAGACTTAATATTATTTTTTAAAGAAATTCAAGTGTGTACTCATTTGGTGTTGCATGATAGAATACACTTAGTTACAGATTACATAATCACTTTTATTTTTATTTTTTAAATGTAATTTTATCACTGTCTCACTTCACTTGTTCATGTAAGTGTCCACGCGGTCTCATAAGAATGTCTGACAAAATATTTTAAGAGGATTTTAGCTTTGCGTTACCAATCCTATATTCTTAGATGTGTGATCTTGTTTTCTGAGTCATTTAAATATAAATAATGCCTGCGCTTTTTTTTTCTGGGATCATATTTGTCGTGGCACCGGTTTTCCAACACTACTGTCCATCCATAAGACCTACATCTCCAATGGTGAGTGGGACCTTGTATCGTTAATCTCTCAGTGTAACATTGACACTTATATGACTGTCTAGGTGTTAGGGACGCTGAAGAAACCTCCCCTGGAGTTTTCTCATCAACTCCCCAAAGTTTCATAGGTGTTAGGGACGCTGAAGAAACCTCCCCTGGAGTTTTCTCATCAACTCCCCAAAGTTTCATAGGTGTTAGGGACGCTGAAGAAACCTCCCCTGGAGTTTTCTCATCAACTCCCCAAAGTTTCATAGGTGTTAGGGACGCTGAAGAAACCTCCCCTGGAGTATTCTCATCAACTCCCCAAAGTTTCATAGGTGTTAGGGACGCTGAAGAAACCTCCCCTGGAGTTTTCTCATCAACTCCCCAAAGTTTCATAGGTGTTAGGGACGCTGAAGAAACCTCCCCTGGAGTTTTCTCATCAACTCCCCAAAGTTTCATAGGTGTTAGGGACGCTGAAGAAACCTCCCCTGGAGTTTTCTCATCAACTCCCCAAAGTTTCATAGGTGTTAGGGACGCTGAAGAAACCTCCCCTGGAGTTTTCTCATCAACTCCCCAAAGTTTCATAGCGATCAGATGTAAGGTGCAGGACAAATAAACCCACTCACAAATATACTTTCATTTATATATATATAGATATATATATATGTGTGTAACTAAGTAGTAGTAGTAGCAGCGGCAGCTATATATATATATATATATATATATATATATATATATATATACACACACACATACATATTGTTACTACCTCCTTCTCTAATCCTATACACAAGCTCAGAGGCGTAGCGGGGGGGGGGGGGGACATATGTCCCCGGGCGCCGACCTTAGGGGGGTGCCAAAATGGGTTGGAAAAACAAATTGAAAGTTTGTCCCTGGGCGCCGGGAAGGGTCGCTACGCCTCTGCACAAACTAATAATGAATAAACACCATTTTCAATGACTACTACTATTTAATGCCACTATAAGTATACAATAATTACCCTTAAGCAGCCACCACATGAAAAAAAATCAGACCAATACTTCTATCTAGTCTACTACTAGAGAATAAAAAGTCCTTAATCCGAATATCCTACTTGTCCATAACGATCAATTCAAAGTCTACAGACATACCGTAGCTTGCCACCAGCACACGATAATCGCCCCGTTAGTCTGCTACCTCTAGCTGTCTGTGTCTCAACCCCCTCCTAAAATAGTCATGTCCACTGTGCTCACCGTCGTAACAATTTATATATATATATACATATATAAAGCAACTAGTATCTAATAACATAAGTGTAGCACTGAGTACCTCAATATAGCACGCAGTACGCCAACAATCTAGCGATGAGTACCCAGCCGATATAAAAAGTAAGTTGAGATGACGATCTAGCACTAGTACCTCAATAATCTAGCACGAAGTACGTTAACGATCTAGCACTGAGTACCTCAATAATCTAGCACTGAGTACCCAGCCGATATAAAAAGTAAGTTGAGATGACGATCCACGCTACGTTAGAAAATAGAAAAAGACACACGCTGCCCCTAAAAAACCATTTCCTGCAAAAGGCCAGCAGACCTTTCAAACGATGGTAAATGGCGTTTTTCTCGGCAGTTTTGTTTGAGCACACGTACACTTTGAATTTGGAGCGAAAATTTGACTCCTTGTCTGCCGGGGTAGAGTCCAAGTCATCGCCGTGTTTGGGAAACTCTAAGATGGTCTCATGTTTTGAGATGGTCTCATGTTTTGAAATGGTCTCATGTTTTGGCCTACGGTTACCATCGCCTGTCTTGTCTTGAAAAATCTTCCCAAGAAAAGGCTGAGCAAAATGTTGGATTGAGTTGTCCCTGTGACGTTTACCAGGGGTATCTGGCGTTGAGAGTTTGTATGTTCTGGACGATATTTTATACGGTGAATGCTGGGAGATTTCCATTTGTTTGAAACCTGCACTTTTCAAGACGTTGAGCTGGATGAGTCGCAGCTGACAGACGCTAAAGACAACACACAAGCCATTATGCAGCAGCAGGAAAAACAAGTATGTGATGATGATTGGAAACGTGTCGGAGTTGTGCGGCAGTTGGCCCGACACGATGCCCATAAAGACTGAGAGCGACAGCAGGACCGTGATGGAGAAGGACGCACGTTCGCCGCACTCGTCGGGCAGGACGAAGACGAAGGACGACAAGACGGACATGAAGATGACGGGGATCAAGACGTTGACCAGGTAGAATTCGGGTCGTCTTTTGAAGGTCATGGACACGGTGAGGCGAGTGAAGACCTCGTCACCGTACACTGGGTGATCAGTGCTGATGGTGGACGCTACAAGGTCCCACTCGCCGTTGGAGATGTACGTGTTGTTGATGACGTAAGGAAATGTTGGTATGAACTCAATTTCTTCTGAATAGTCATTGGCAAATATCTCAATGTAGCAAGACTGCTCGTCAAACGGGAAACACGTGATGTCAAGAATGCAGGAGGCCGAGAAAATCCCGCCCGGATACCATCGGGAAACTCCGTTAAAGTAGACGGTGACCGGGGAATAATCGTCGAGGAAAATATCTCTGGCGATGACAGAGTTTGACACGAGTGTCCTGGGCCGCCAGATGTCCAGGGGCTCGGGATGGACCATGTTTATTCCATCATAGTTTTTAGGGTCCCAGGTTCGGAGCTCGTCCACCCACGTGAAGTTGACCCATGCGTTGAACTCGAGTTTCTGTTGCAGCTCAACGATACTGAGGAGGTGGATCAAATAGAAGCGCACGTAGACTGGGATGGGGCTTGTTTGGTTCAGTACGGGCCGGATTCTCCGGTTGTACGGCTCGAATACGTCACGATACAATCGGGCCGTGTCGTTGAAACTTGCACATACCGGCATCTTGTACACATGTGTCCACAACACATGTGTCCACAACACATGGGTCCACAACTGCTGCACACGACTAGCTCCCATAATAAACGTGTCACATAAATCACGGGGCTGACTTTACGGCAAGAAAATGTCTTCTTTTATTCTGCACATCCACCTGTCTAAATTGTTCACCTCAAATGTAATGGTCTACTGTACATCCACATGTCTACATTATTCTACTAATCTAAACTTGGGAAACTGAAGAACTTGTACGTCTACACTGTTCTACTAATCTAAACTTGGGAAACTGAAGAACTTGTACGTCTACACTGTTCTACTAATCTAAACTTGGGAAACTGAAGAACTTGTACGTCTACACTGTTATACTAATCTAAACTTGGGAAACTGAAGAACTTGTACGTCTACACTGTTATACTAATCTAAACTTGGGAAACTGAAGAACTTGTACGTCTACACTGTTCTACTAATCTAAACTTGGGAAACTGAAGAACTTGTACGTCGGCACTGGGGGCGTGACGTCAGCAAGACACCGTCCAATAGCCACGCGTCTGGTACCACCACGGCTTGCTGCGCCAGCATCAATAAATTTTTCGTCAACTGCAGCAGCTGTTTGTTCTGACGTGACCGGCGGGGAAGTAGATTCCTAACCCTAGCACTAATCCTAGCACTAATCATAATCCTAACACTAGCACTAATCCTAACACTATCCACTTATCATAACACTAGCACTAATCCTAACAATAAACTTTTTTTGTTAAACTCATTTTAACTCATTTTAAAAATAACCAATCTCTTTCTAGAAATATATAAATATTATTAACACTAGCGCCACTAGTTATCTATATCTATATATAATACTAAAACTCAAGTTTGTTTACATGTTTGAATATTTATTTGTTTGTCTGATTGACTATTGTAAATGGATCTACGCTATATGTAGAACTGTAAAATAGTATGTAGGTAGAGAACAATTTTTGTTTTCAGACAGACTGTTAATCACAAATTTATTTAAAGACGTTAATTAATTTATTGATTTATTCATATGTAGATTAATCAAATTAATTTTAAAGTTTTAGAACAATGGCTTTCTTTGACTGAATAGTGACGTCACAAGTTTTTTTTAACTTTTTAGTACAATAACATGGCGGGTTCGATCATAGACTTTGTGGCCCATTCAAAAGTTTAACGCGTTCTAAAGCTAATTTTCTGTCGGCCATAACTTTAACAATACGTCCGTTTGCTGTTTTTATTACGTTCCAACACTTATATAAATTTTCAACTGTCTTTTTCATTTAGTTTTACAATAAATTTCTCTAGCTCTACAATCTACAAAATATCAGGTGGCCAAGCGTTATTTATAGATCTAGATGTAGAATCTAGGTAAAACCAAAGATTAATTAGATACATACCAAACATTAATTAGATAAAAATACAATCCATTTTATAATCATAATACATTTTTTAGTCCTTAATTGATATAAATATTTGTGATTTATCTATCTAGATCTAGATCTATCTAGCTAGAATAGGTCTAATGATTAGATCTAGATCTAGCAAAAGCTACGCAAAAACTACTGCACATCCACCTGTCTACATTGTTCACCTCAATTCTATCTAGATCTAGATAATTTCAGATCTTCGTCTATCTCAGGGGTCTCCAAACTTTTCAGCCCGAGGGCCGCATTAACTATCAAATATCAGTTCGCGGGCCAGAGTTTCATCCAGGCATCTCTTCGGGGTGGCGCCCCTTCCCCCCCCCCCCCCAGAAGAACCTCTACCGTCTACCCCCCCCCCCCCCCCCCCAACGAAATTTTATATATATATATATATATATATATATATATATATATATATATATATATATATATATATATATATATATATATATATATATATACACACACACATTTCAATACTCTGCTCAAAACTTTCACACAACTTAGCCATCTTACTGCTGTGTAATATAGTAAATCTTGCGATTCTGTTTGTATCTATGGATGAGCCCATGTGACCTTATTAAATTCACCATCTTCATCAAGGGATTTAGTACACTGCTAATGCCCACATATTTAGTACACAAATCTTCCTGGTGAAGAATACAGTGCAGGGACATTGGTTGTAGAATGATTTCTCATTCGCTTGTCCAACCAAGCCTTTCTTTATGCCACTCATGTACTTTCCTCCATCAACAGTCAGGTAACAGAAGTTAGTCCAGCTCAAGTTATAATCAGCAAATGTTTTTTTTTAACTCATTGAATATATCCTCTCCGGTAACAGTACCATACATGTTATGTAGGGAAACCATCTCTTGTGTTCTTGTTTTCATCCACACCTCTAATGAACACGAGCAGTTGAGATGTGGAACAGCTGTCCAGCGACTCATCAGTTGCAATTGAAAAATGGCGAAACTTGCTTGCATTTTTCGCTATTTGATTCACAATGTTTTCACCAATGTCTGCAACACGAATGGCAATGCTACATTTGCACCCAATGGTACATTTTCAATTTGATTTGAGGGTTTCGAACTAAACTCCATGACATTATTTCAGTGGGGTGGTTTTGTGCAAAAAAGGGGATGGAGGTGAACATCGACTTTTTTAAACGTCACGCCATTTCAGCCACCTCCAACAAACATTTTTTTTCGTTGACAAAAAGATCTCCGCGGGCCGGATGAGAAGACCTCGCGGGCCGCATCCGGCCCGCGGGCCGTAGTTTGGAGACCCCTGGTCTATCTTCTTCTTCTATCTTTCTATCTATATATATAAAAAGCTAGTATGTGTGTGTGTCCTTTATGCATTACTACACCTCTCATCACATCGCCGTGAAACTTTGGGAAGTTGTTGAGAATATTCCTGGGGAGGTTTCTGCGAAAGAAAAATATTTCAAATTCGCAGGGGTGGCGCCCCGACAGGGCGCGATTTGTTTTTTTCTATATACGGTATATAAAAATAAAAGTCGATTTTGGTTTGGCATCGTTCATCCGATAGCCATGAGACTTTGGGGAGTTCATTATACCACTCTAGGAAAGGGTTCTGTAAAAAAATAATTTTTAATTTCGCAAGGGCGGCGCCACGGGAGGGTCCGATTTTTCTCTATATACGGTATATAAAAATAATAAAAGTGAATTGCAGCGACACCGTTCACAGTGGCGGATTAAGGGGGTGCTGAGGGGGCTGCAGCCAGGGCCCCCCGATTTTTAGGGGCCCCCAAATTTCCTTTTTCAATCATAGTAAATTTCCCTTTGAAGTGATTTTTTTTTACTATAAAAGCCAAGGTTTTAATATTTGAATCACAAGTTTATTTCAATTTTGATCCAAATATCAAACTAGTATAAATACCAGCCCAGACAGCGTTTGCTTATGACAATAAATTGGGTTAATTTTAGTTAAGAACACAAACAGCGGTCGAATTCTGACACATAAATGACATGCATCTGGTTTGAACACTCTATGATTTAAACTTTTAAAAACACTTATAGGCTTTTACTTTTGGTGAACTTTAATATCCAGTGTACATGCCAGGGATGACGTTCTTTAAATGGACGCCTGTCGAAATCCAACTTTTTGTTAGCCTCATAAATGGATGACACCTGAGAGGACGGAGGTGTTATTTTTAGAAATACGTGAATGACAGTTCAATAACTATCGTGACAAGGATATAGCGGCTCAAAAGTTTTCCCATTAGCCAGGCAGGCCTCGACGTAGTGAGTAAAGTAAAGTAAAATTCCCTTTTCAAACCTGACGGTCTATGATAAAGTTGCCTATCTGAACTTGGCGGGATACAGGGCAGGTGAAGTAGAGTTAATCTGTTTCTTTTTCCCAAGCATATGAAGGGATAGTGTGGTCAGAGACATGCTCGACTGGAATCGTTTTTTTTTAAACGATAAAAACATGTTGTCTGAGACTTGGCGGGACACTGGGCAGGTGAAGTAGAGTTGAGTAGGTCACCTGTGACGTCAGTATATGAAGGGATAGTCCGAAATCGGTGTTTTTGGTGTTTTTAAAAGATAAAAAACATCTTTTTGAATGTGGGGTCTGGTTTTTTATGACGATAGGTGACAGACGTGATGTTTTTTATGGATGACCCCCCGAAACCCACAGTTATCCAACGGATGACGGGCAGTCTAGTAATAATTAAAAATCAAGAATTTTTTTATCCTTCATAGTCCTAGCCTCAATACATAGGAGAATTAAAAACAAGGATAAACATTAAACTAAGTCTGCTAATTAAGCACTTCTAACCCTAACCCTTGTGAATCCAGTTTAACCTTCACCCATATATATATATATATATATATATATATATATATATATATATATATATATATATATATATATATATATATATAACATCTAGATGTTATTCGTATAAGCTGAAAATTTATGTTTGATTAATTGATTTTTACTCACCAATCTTTGAATTGCTAACATGGAGAAGATTTGTTTGCTATCGGGCAATATTTCTGGGGAAACACCACAAAACCATTTAAAAAATGTCATCGCATTCAGCCATGCCCAATTCTAACGTTATCAGACCTTTAAATCAAAAACTCATTTGTCATCGGTTGACTGCTTCGGGTATGGTTTCCGTGTGCGATTGTATGTTTAAAAAAATAATATTAAGAATGGACTTTTTATAAAAAAAAACGTTTAATAATATGCTTTTATATAAATATGCACTTAAAACAAGAAAATTATAATGCATCACTATTTATATAATTAGACCTATACTATAAAGAAAAGCGTGGGTCCTTATTAAATTTTATTATGTGTTTATTTAAGGGACGCGGCTTGTGTGTTTATTATGCAGCAAATAATAGCCGCTCTCCGTGTTTTGGAAATGTATTGTACCGTATTGTGGTGTGGTTTGGTGTGTTATGTTTTTGTATATACACGAGCCGACCCGCGGCGTATCATACGCCGCTATTTAGTTGTTTTATTTTCTACTTTTCAGTAATTCATAATTTGTGAATTCGACAGTACCAAAGCTGCCACTGAAAATATTTG